CTATCAATTTACCCCAAAAAATTATGCAGTACTTTTGAGTTTGTACTTCACACATATCTAGTTTTTAGCTAGAACCTGCTGGGCATTCTGACGTAATTTAACTCACCATGTAATGTAACTGCCTTGGAACTCACCATTATTTTACCCAAAAGAATTAACAGTAAAATGAAGTGTTACAGTCTACTCACACATGGCAAGCTTTTTCTGTATCTGTCACCCCATCTAAATTTGACCATTTCATTAGGTAAAGTTCTACCAAGCTGTGCTTAAGGGCAAAAATTCAATTCCAGGTAGGATTAACTATGGTGGAATCAAGGGTTTTCCATTTGTAATACAGCATTTTACTAACATCATACACCTAAACCAGATGTAATTGCTTAACTCCAAGGGTTTCATGAATCTAATTCCTCTGTACATTTTTTTTTATTTTATTTTATTATTTTGTGAAATTAATAGGTCTCACAAAATAAACAAACAAGAACGAAGAAAATTAAATTTCTCAAGTTAATCTGTTTCTAATCTTTCAGTAAACTAAACCTTCTGTATGTCTCAGTGAGAACTGTGCACATCATATAATAAATAAACACATTAGTGCCAAGAACAGACGTGAGATAAACAGGTCGCGGATGTCAAAGGACTCGCCAAAATGTATCAAAACATGACCTACACTACTGTTCTGAAAATTCAGTCACTGTTATTTGTTTAATATAAAAACATTTTGTGGAAGATTATACTACTACTTTACAATTTTATAGGCTTTAACAATTTTGTAGGAAGCTATAAAAAACTGACCCTTTAGATGTGTCCAGAATAATGAACAGAGCCATAAATGATTTTATGTTTGGTAAATCTGTATAACATGGAGAATGACGTTACAACAAATTGTACATCCACAATGCTTCGTAATTAAAAAGTGGTGATCAAATCTCAAGGTATTGATACTTGATACTACTGATTGGTACAGTAAATAAATAATTATAGTATATTATCAATTAAAAATGTAACTTTTAATAAGCTCCAAAAAAACTATTTCTACACTATAAAAGTTATTATCGTATAAAATACAGCAATTATTATTAATGACAAGTGATTCCAAACTTTAAAATGTATTAATCAATAAAAAGTCTAATCCTCAAACCCTCAATCAATGATCACTCTTTATATTCATAACCTCTGTACATTAGAGGATGACCATTTAGTGAAAGCTAAGTTATCTGTGAACAACACAGAAATGCTTGTGCATTCCCCAGACCAAATTTACCAAACATACTGATTAATACTGATGTTAACATACTGACTACACAGACTATACATCAAATTAACACTTAACAATTAACATCATCTTGAATTTTACACTGTCTACACATTTTTCCACGGTCAGCCGCTGATACACTTTTCTGAGTGTAGCTCATAACATGTTTATGGTGCAGTGTGATCAGTGGTGCACTGCCTGTACATGCATAAATTAATGAACAATAAAAAGGAAACATGAGCCAGCTAATTTAAAAGACACAAGGCTATATCACCCTCATATTACCCTTCTAGGTCTTGCTGATACAGCTCTTTCAAAACAGTAAATCCCCCTGTCAGGGTGGAAGAACCTTGCCAGTGTTAACCTTGCCTGGGAAAGGAGAAACCTGATTATGCTCAGCATTAATATAAACTGTTTGGTTCAGAGTGAGAGTGATTACAGCAACAGTAAATTACACCATGTGATCTGGTCAAGGCAAATGACAAGTATATTAAACCATAGATGAGGACCCCATATTTTGCACATTTCTTGTGCTTTCTCTACTCTAACACACCTGACCCAGCATATGAGGGCAAGTTAAATTAGGTGTACTAGATAAAAACAAATATGTGCGGAGGTGGGGCCTCTAAGACAGGGACTAGGAGCTGCAGGATCATACCCTAAATTTTACTGTGCAAAAGAATGCCACAATGGCAATATGTGGGCAAGAGAACGCACCAGTAACTTCGCCAATGGTCAACGTTTGTTCATTACTGTTGTGGAAGACTTAGGTAAGAGTGTCTACCCAATAATTTAAAAGATCTACAAAAAGTAATGTAAAGCATTCTTTATTTATTCGAAAACAGAAGTTATTGATATTGTTATTGGCCAAAGACATCACAACAGTCCTAGTAAATTGGGAAAATTTCTTGATTATTCCATAATGAAGTTAAGTGATAATGGGAGTACAAATGTTTTTTCCATTTCTGAAAGAACTAAACCCATTGAAAACTAAGAGACATCAACAAGGGTATGTGTGTGTGTTTTTTTTGGGTGCATGAATGTCTATAACAGGAACACACAACTCTGGTCCTGGAGGGCCGGTATCCAGCACAGTTTGGTGGTTCCCCTGCACAAGCACACCCACTAACCCTGACAATTAACAGATGAGTGTAATTAGGTGTGCTTGAGCAGTGACATTACCAAACTGTGCTGGACACTGGCCCTCCAGGACCAGAGTTGTGCAACCCTGGTCTATAAGCATGATTGTATGTGCTGTGACTTATATTGTTAAAGGTAAAGTTCAATAAAAGGTTAATCAACAATCATAAAAAAAATCATTAAGACTGTGTCATCAGTTACCCATTTGAGCAAACACTTCAAAAAATCTCCTTCGGAAAGTCTAAAAATTCATGATGCTTATTTCTTAAATGCCATGATCCAGTAGCACTATGCCACTACAGCCAAGACAGCTCTATTCCAAAGCATGCTATTTTTTACCACACTTGTATTGACAGAACGGTTTAATGGCAAAGCACACACAAAACCCTGCTCTAGTCACTCATTCAGACCAGGGTTGGTTGGATAAGGTCTAGTTAGAACCCACACACCAAGAGACTATATATAGGTGTGATGTCTTCCTGTGCAACTGGAGAGTCAGTGGCCTATTAACATCACAAAAATCTGAGACCTGGCACATTCCAGAGACAGAAATAACCTGCTGGGGGGACAGAGATGGGCGAGAAAGAGAGAGACCAAGAAGGAGAGATGTAGGCAACGTATAGTGGAGGACAGGGAACATAGACAAAGTGAGAGAGAGAAACAGTGGTTAAGAAAAAGAATGCAAGAAGAGACAGAGAGGAATGAGAGTAAGAGACAGACAGAGAGAAAGAGAGAAGGAGAGAGAGAAAGAGAGAGAGAGCAAGAGAGAGAAAGAGAGAGAGAGAGAGAGAGAGAGAGAGAGAGAGAGAGAGAGAGAGAGAAGCAGCCATGAGTGACGGAACAGGTGTGTGGGGTTGAGGCTGGAAAGCACTGACGCATGCAGGACCGCTTTTTGGCAGAGACCCTTGCAATACAGAAACAGACACTACGTTACTTACACCACACAGGGCTTCACATAGGAGATAGCAACACTCACAAACAATTCCTGATGACCACCTGTACATCAACTGAACCACAAATGGACTTTCACAGACATCTACAGTGTAATGCAAAGCAGTGCAAATGAAACTGATCAAGTTCACACCGAAAAAGGAAGAAAAATGTGTTTTCATCACACAAAGAAAGGTGAAAGTGTGACAGAGCTAAATCAAAATGTAATGCTCTGTAAACTATTTCTACTGATGTACTGACCCTAAAGGACCCAGACAGGAGCAGTCTGTAAAACACAGCCATTCTGCTGACAGTTTGACAGTGAAGATGGTGTGAGTGATATGGTAACTCTGCCGGTACACAGTATAGCAGAATGACCAAGGTTGTTGCTCTTCTACCAACAAGGACAAGTAATGGAAAGAAGAACGAATCACACAAAATGGTGCTGCACAATTAACTTGTTTCAGTTTCCCAGTGATCAAGCAATAATGAATCAACATCATATATATAATACACACATATTTATGCAGGCACATGCACACACACACACACACACTACTGTGCAAAAGTCTTAGGTGCCTCTTGCACAATACCAAATCGTGTTATTTAAAACCATTAATATATAAGTAGCTTTGTGCTCTAATGTTACACCATGTGTAACACACAAATGCACTAAAAACAAAAAAAAGATTTCTCCTGGAAGCTCCCAGGTGAATTCTACCACCAGCACACTCGATTTAACAATTAAATACTGATGAGCCAGACTTAACAAGCTTTAATATTAGGAAGTACATGTGGCTTTACATGTTAACTCTAGGCTTGTAATTAGCTTTTTAATCCTAAAACGTATAATCTAGTAATTAATACAAATTACCCAGTATGATATGAAACTGTTAAATTATGTATGCAGTATGAAAGAGACCTGCCACACCCACTGACAGTTCCTTAGAGTTTAACAGGTTAAACTAGCATTGGCAACTGGACATTCAAAGCAGCAGGTAATAAACACACACATGACACGTTCAGGCTTTTGAACCAAGGCTTGAGTTAACTGGCTTGGGTTATTCAACCCTCCAATACATCACAGAGCAGGGAGTTAGCCACTCTCCCCTGTAATTTTACAGCTCCACTTTGGGACAGTTTGGGAGCACTTTGGGAGCAGTTTCATTCAGCTTTCCAGCTGCTACCATCACTCCCTATCCCACACTGCCACCAAACTGATCCCCACACACACACACACACACACACAACTAGACAACTAGAAAAGGGGATCCAGGGAGCTCCATTTTACTTAACTTGTTTGGACGATCCACCATTTTGTGAGGCACACACATCTGAGGGGACAAGCTGCCCAATTATCTCATTTGCACTGAATCATTGTCACTCTGTGCCATTAAAGTGAGAGCACTAACCTTTTCCCCTCTTTTCTCCCAGCACAATATGTAACAATTAACAGCATGAACTTCATTAAAGAGCACATTGTATCCCTACCGGGGAAATTCTCCCAAGTTTATTAAGTTATATATTAAAATCTGATTAGAAAATACATTTCAGGGCATATTTAACCATGCATTTGAATTCACCAAAGAGCGAGAGACACAATGGTCCCAAAAAGGATGTAGGTTGCTTATTACAAAAGCTATCAACCAGGAGACTGATGAAAGTTATCCCAGGTTACCTTCTCCCAGATCCAAGACTGCGAGGACCGCGCTGCTCTTAGCCTCTCCTAGGTAGTTGGTAGCAATACAGGTGTAGAGGCCTGCATCAGTGGGTTTGCAGTCTCGGATCCACAGGCCTCCATACTCCTGGTTATCCATGCTGAGGAGCTCATCGTTGTGGTACCAGTACAGTGAGGGCTGTGGGTCCCCAGCCACAGCTACCTTCAGACGGATGTCACAGCCAGTACCTACGGCGGCGTTCCTCATCTTCCGGATGAAGACAGGGGGTGTTGGTGTAGGGTAAACAGAACTCGGGTCAGGCACCAGCTGATCGGGATTGACTTTAGCCCGTTTTGACGGTATCCGTGGGCTCGGAGGTGCAACCCCTCCAGATCCATCTTCTGCGCCCTTCTTTAGGGTCATCTGCACCTCAGACTTCCTCATGACTCAGTAGAGAGACGCTGGACTTTATGCACAAACTTCTGCACAGGGTCAGCTGCATAAACAGTTTGACTTTATAGTAAAATTACACTTTCTGACTCAATTTCAGTTTTAACTGTCCATTTCATAATTAACTATTCTGGTGTAGTAAGTGCAGGCTTTACTGGAAATCATGCAAAAACAGCTCCAACCAAGGCTTCAGTGATAGCAGCTTGTTGACTGCAACTCAGATTCAAAATGTCTCCTTAGATATTTAAAGAGCTTCAAGCGGCATACGAAATCGCCAACTCCATATAAATAAGAAACACTTTCTAGAAAGCCCTGAGGCAAGTGAAGGTCATCAATACATACAGGGATTACCTTCAGAATGTTTGCAACCAAGAATTTTGGAATATAGTTCTCACATCCTTGAACAAGTCTAATTAGCGTAGAAGAAAATAATATGTTTAATCTTTGGCCAATTAAGCAACCACAGTGAGTCCATGTATTCCTGACGGCTGATATTTTTAGAGCAAGTCCCACAGGATCACGTTGCATTAGCAGCTTCCAGTATGGCCTTTTGGAAGTTTGGCCTGTGCTTTACACCCTCCCTGGTCAGATCCTGCAGGTCTTAGCGGTGGAAAGCGACTGCCCGGTTCGTAGGTGTGCCTTTCTGGTGCCGTGTTCTCTGGGTGTTCAGCTCTGCAGGCGCGTAGTTCCGCTGTGCCCACAGTTGCCTTGTCTTTCTTCCCCCCTTTGCCCTGCAAGTTAAGCTCTCCCAATCATAGCTTCGTCCCTCAGCAGTCAGGGCCCATGCCGAGGTGACAGAGCAGCCCCCTAAGCCACCCAATGACAGCTGCGCCCTGATAGGTCACGGTTTTTGGACAGCGTGGATGCACCAGCCCAGCCTGTCACACCCCATAATTTGTCCCTTGGCACTTGTGGCCAATTGCAAACTCCAGAGAGTGTGACACAGGGCCTGGAGGTGGAGTTTGGAAAGAAGCTCTGATTCATATGTCAAAGATAGCAGCTAGACTGGAAGCCCATAGTGTCACTAGCAACATATGTCTGCTTTTTTTTTTTCACCTTGACTCTTTGTGGTAATTCAGCACCTATTCAAATGTGCTCTGTGGCGAAGTGGTATAAAATAGAACGCAGAATGCAGCGTTTAGTTATGCTTATGACTTATGCAAAAATGTCAGACCCCTTTGTATGCAGCACTGAAGCTTAAAAAAGTTAATACACAATCACTATGACAAAAACAAAGAACACATAAGAGTGAAAGTGTACAAAACTATACTTCAATCAACTCTTGAATAATACAGACTGCCATCTGCTGGACACTACCTATGACTGCAAGCTTTAAAAAATACACTTTAATAGTGTACACTTTACTACACTGTATACTATACAGTAGTGCACTGTTTCTCAATCCTGGCTTTGGAGTACTATCTTAACTCTGAGGGCATGGTAACACTTGAAAATTCGGTTGAATTAAAACCAACTCAACTGCAACTGCTCCTTTAGTGCAGTTTGTTAGGACAAGTGAGAATGCTGCCATGTGATTCCTGGTGCAGACCAAATACATTGACCAAGACCCCCTGAGGAGCATTTTCAAACAAACTCATTTGAAGTTTGAAGGCAAAATATACCAAAGACATAAAAACAGGCTAAACACAGAACAAACTGTCATCTCCTTTCTGCAAGAGACCTTCTCTGGCACATGCAAAAGACAAATTTCTGATGCTGTTTTGACACAGGGACATGTCTTATCGTGTCTTCATGAGCTCTGAATTGGAAATTACAGAATGGACTGTTTCAAAGCTGAGGTACACTCGAAGGCATTATAAACTACATGATACACACATTTGATTGCATACTTCAACTGTATTACATGTTAATGCACCAAGTTTCTGTCATTTTATAAAAACAGTACACCACTTCAGGCTGTATCTTATAGTGGGGTGGGCATTAAGATGATATTTTATCGTTGTAGTAATACGTTTTGTTATTGTGATAAACAATAACAAAATGCATATTGTGGTATTATCCATCCTTAAAGAACATTGACCAAGTGCATGTTTCACTAGAAAGAGAGCATAATTAGTCCTGATTGTCCTGATAGACTGGATTTAAAACACTGAACAATATGTACCATATGTTTTAAAATGTGGCATTACTGGTGCACTGTGTCTGTGTGTGAACATACCGTGATACTTATCATGTACTGTGAAAATGTTTTTAAGGTATCGTGATATGATATTTTTGCCATATCGCCCACCCCTATGTTATAGTGATTTCACCCCACTTTGCGTTGCGGTAAATGGTGATAATTTAGGGCATCTCAAGACTGCTGTAGAATTTCACAGGACATACATAAATTTCACACATTCAGTTGGGCTTGAGAACAGCATGATTCAGAAAGTCACCAAATGTGTAATATTTATGTCCATATGATTTTGGATCAATGTCAAATATTTGTGAATGCTAACTTTCTAAAAATGCAACTATGTATAGTCTTGGTCTGGGGCAAGAGTCAAACTACAAATATGAACACAGCTCAACCGCTGTGTTAGAGCAACAGTCAAAATAATCCACAGTTTTGCTGACATACTCAGGGAACAAGAACAAGTTTACTAGTGAAGATCAAGCTTTGCTAATTTCAAAAGTAAATCTAGCAAGTACTGTGCTTGCTCCTCGAATAGCAGTTGGGCCAGATTACAATCAGGTCACAAAACATTTAAACCAGCCGTCCAATTTTCAGTGAATGTTTCTGTGGTTTTAACAAAAGCACATGACTAAAAAGAGCAAGACTCAATAAAAAGACTGAAATCGATCCATAGCAATCTATACATCATGCCAACTATGTGCTCCCCTTACTCCTCCTCTGAAACCAAAGCTGGACTGCAGTTAGTCCTGTGGGGTTCGTCGCCATGGAAACAGCACCACTCTCTGGCCGAGCGAGCGAGATGTGAGGATGGAGCTCAGGCCTAGGAAAGAGTGAGTGGGAGGAGCAGAGGAGAGCGAATCCACAAGACTTCACTATTCACACAGGGGGAAAGATGGAGATACCACTACCGCACCTCACTGAGAGGCTTTACAATGACGAGAGCATGCATGCATGCACTGAAACACAGAGAAGCTGTTTAACACGGGGCATGAGCATGAAGGAAGGAAGGAATAGGGAAGATGAAGATGAGTTGCACTTACGTCTCAGGATGCACTGTAAGCCTCTCTGCCAGCGTTCTGCAGCAGCTAGTGCGGTGTGTTGGAGCACTGCCCTCTGCTGTTCAAAGCAACACATGACACCAGAGTGTCTCCTGTGACATCACAGCAAAGCACCAATGATCTGCCAATGATAAAATACTCCTGAAAATACTGTACGTACCTGAGCTGTCAATCTTGGACAGAAACCAAGACTCTACAAACTAGGTTTGCTCTGTATGTGAAGAAACAGAACTTATATTCAGTTTCTCTTGCTGAGATCCTAATAATAAACATCTCAAACACCACATGGCATCCCTCAATTAACCACATTTAAAGATGATGAAGTGCTTTTGATTCATAAAAACCCTTGGCACTCATTAAAATTTATAGACAACGATTATAAGGGCTTTGGAAAGCACTAGCGCTATCTTTATACACGAACTGCAGGGACATTTTATTTATGAAGTTCAACGAGATTAATTTTAGTGAAGCCAATCTCGAGGGCTGCTCAGTCTGGGAAGCAAACCAACAGATTACAGCTCGTTCTAAATAAAGCAACACACTGTCAAGCTTCTCAAAGAGATTCCACAAAGATACCAAAGGTTTTATTTAACCATATAGTACACACATAAAAAGAGGGTTCTGCTATTATTAGTGTCAAGCCTGTAACAACAGAAGGCCCCTTTTTCGGTGCTATTTAGGACCCTTTTCAAAAAGGTTGTATTCAGAACTATGTACAACACTTTCTCTCTTTTTTCCCCTGGACTTACACTCTCTTTATAGAATAGTGGCATCTGTTTAAGACCATACATTCCAGATAACTTGGGATGAAGACGTCAGAAGGAGACAAAATTTTCACCCTACAAACAAAAGAACAGATTATTCCTTAAGAACTCGTTACAGTCTGTATAAGAAGTAAATAATAATTATGCTATATATACTATAGATATACTAATAGTTATTTAACTTCTAAAATCAGGTCAATACTATATCACAATGATTCTATAAAACACACAAAATTATTAAAAGCAGATTAACATGCTGCCATTTTTTCCATCATTAAACTACACATTTGAAAGGTTTTTAAAAAGCTGTGGTATGAGATTTTTTTCTTATTTATGTTTTATTTGTGAATGAACTATTACATGTTGGCACAAGATACAAAGGGACTGAAACATTTTAGGCAGGTTTTAATTGAGGCGCTTTAGCGGGCAGGCAGATTGGGTGGTCATGTAGTAGATAGGTGTATAGACATACTTGTCCATGTCCAGTGTAGGTACAAGTGTACCAAATAAAGTAGCAACTAAGTATAATTAAATAATTAACAGAAGAATATTTGTCAAGGTATTTATTGAAATATTAACCACTGCTGTAATGTTGTAGAATGTTTCGCAAAAAACTTACTGTGGTAGTAGGCAGGTGTCGGCAGTATGTGGTACTCTGGTTTGGTTTTGCACACCATGGCAATTCTAAACAGGGCAACAGAAAATGAAATAGAATTTCCGAAGTTACCTGTATATGAACACAAACATGAGTAAACCTGGTTAAAACTGTCAGCTGTAAAATGGACACAGTAAAACTGCAGTATTTCTGCACACTGTACTGCAGGGGTTTTTTTATATAATACAATATTGTGTCCATTTTACTGACAATATCATTTGGGGCAGCTGTTAGCTGCAGACTACAATTCAAGTCATACTGATAAAATGACACTTGAGTGTTTTACGTTTGCTATTACAATGATATCAGTTTACTGCATTTAATATATAAAATCTACTAGAGCTGGCCTCAAACATTGGTTGGTATTTCAAAACGAGTACCTTAGATCTTGTTTTCAAAATCACTTTTAGAAATAATAATATTTATGTTTCATAAATCAACATATTTCATTACTGCGGTTCAAAATATATTCCATACAATCCCAATATATCTCAATACAAAGACGTAATAATAGTGTATTAATAATGTAAATACGTAAAACCAAATTAACTGAAATGAGTTGTTGTTTAAGTCATGTAGCCTACCAAGCAGTACTTAGATTATACTTACGTATTTAAGATGGCGTATACCTTCATAACTTCTTGTGCCTCTATGGTAGTTATACCAACCTCTTGTCGCAAATTTAGCACTGAGCATTTTTGCTTATATCATCCAATAATTTAAAGTCTTCCCCAAATGTGGTTCTCTGGCATCTCTGTTCTTTCAATTTCGAAAACAGAGTGAAAAGTGAAGTATGTTTTACTCTGAGGCGAGGTGACAGTGATGCATTCAAATAATCAAGCTACCATTTTATTTATTTGTTACATTTTCCATATTTAAAAAATACTGTTCTATCTAAAGGTATTTGTTGATAGTTTAGGCTGCAATTTTTGTGGCTTGAAAAAAGGCAAAGTTTACAAAAACTAAATAGAGAAACTAATACAAATGTAGCTAATGAACAAAAAATTGAGCATTCAAATGATTCGGGCCAGCCCATGTCGTCGATACACTGATAAGCTGAAAAATGCTCCTATACTAATCACAAACCTTAAACGTGAGCTTGAACAGCTTAAACGAGTATTATAGTTAAATGGAACAAACATGCATTTTAAGGTGAATGCGACTAACTAACGTTATATAACTAGCTGTTACGTTAATCAGTGTACAGTACTCTCGGGTAGCAAAACTGTACTGTACTGGATTTGTAAACTGCACTGTACTGAAATGACGCTCATGCACCTGATTTCAACGTCGATTGTTTACTGGGCTATAAATAGCCAGCAATTCTTGCTTAGTCAGGGTTTAATGTTATTCCTTTCAACATGCATTGTGCTCTCCGGGCTGAAACTCCATTCAGTCGTCGCTGGCCGCTTGGTGGGATAATATAGGCAAAAACGAGATTATTATCGTTTTAAACAAGTGCATTCACATAATACAGTTCTACAAAACACTCCAATTAAGCAGTAAGGTTAAACTGTGATTTAATGAAATGCGAAAGCCGTTGAAAACGGCATATGTGAAACCTACAGCACAATATCCCACCTTCTTTCTAGTAATGTCTGCTTTATGTCACGTTAACTTTGCTTGCTTACATTTATCTTTTCATCATGAAAGGTCGACACGGTTGCGTCGTCCAATTACCTGACCTGTTTCAGAAATGTCACAAAATTCTCCAGTTTCTCAAAATATCTCATAAATGTGGCCTGTACCGTAGCTGTGGAAGGCAGCCTGTGCTTTACACAGTTTACAAATCCGTCGGTACAATTTTGCTAATCAAAAGTACAGTTTACAAATCCGTGGGCACAGATTCTAAACCGAGAGTACGGATTACTAAACTGCGGGGACAGATTTTTTTCTCGTTAGTGACCCCTACTGGGCTCCGTACTGAATAGAAGAATGAGAATATGGCTAATAAGGAAAATAGCTGACCAACTTACCTAGACAGCGAACACACGGTAAGACACCGGCGTTAACGAGCGTTAGCTAGTTCGCTAACACGTTGGCAGCCACCAGTTGGTTGTTTTCCACAGTTAGCTAGCTTAGTTGAACGTAAACTTGCACAAAAGGTTCTTGCACACTCAAAACTACAACACGAATTGATAGCAAACTAAAGTATCCCAATACCACAACATGCGCACTGTTAACCGTTTTAACCCTCAGAGTTCGGTTTGATTTGAATATTTAAAACGCGGCGCGCGCGAAGAGCAGCTCTCTCCGGTAAAGCGTTCTGAGATTTTTAGTGTAAAGTAAGGAGCAACTTTTTGCACTGAGAGGGTCGGAAGAACTCCAGGGGAAAAAGTAATGCATGAGAACAATTAATCTTACAGTGACTGAAGTAATGGGCTAATGTATTAAATGGGTTGTAGGTCGCCAACATCCAATTTACCATGAACATGACCCCATTTCAACTGTCCACGCGTATGGAGATCATGAATGAAAGGATTATTAGAATATTTGAAGGAACTTCCTTGCAGATATGGGCCAGTGAACAGTGTTTTGTGCATAGACAAGTTACATATTTGAAATACAGCGAAGTAAACCGCCAGGATGATTTCACTTACTATTTAGCCTGCATCATGTCACTGAATTCAAAGATGTGGTCACTTTAATGTAGACTTTCTACATCTCTTGTACATATTTCAAAATGACGTTTTGAGAAGCAATTCTCTGCTAAGAAGTTTTTAATGCATAATGTGAAGGCTGTGTACCAATTACAGTTAGGAAACTTCAGGAACAGTTTCCTACACCAACATGTGGTTCAGTTAACCAGGAAGCATGGAAATATGCAGTGTTGTGGCACACAAGGAATCAAATTGTATACAGTTATTCAATTCTACATTTTTGCAAATGGTCATTCTTAGGTAACCGCACTATGAATGCAACCAGAGCCAGTAATAAATCTGAGACTGAGTGAATAAAGTCACAGACACAAATCAGTTACAGCACAAGATTTATTCACCAATATACAGATTCTTTCTGCATCGCAGTGATAGTAACTTATCTTCTTGTTTCACTCTTTTGTACAGTTTTATTTACAAGGATTTAAAATAATCTTTTCATTTACATCATCAATGGTACAGTGTTTCACTTCTGAAATTGCTTTGTTACAGCTCTTTTTCTGTCTTTAACCTTTTTCACACTCTTTCCATGTACTCTGTAGGCTTGCATAACAGTATGCCTTTGTTTGAGGAATCCTTAAGACCTCAGGCACGTCTCACATTGAAGAGTCCCACAACCTTGAGAAGGTCCATCTGAGTCAGTCATCACTCACCATGGTGAGGCTTTTATATTCTCTTACACAGACACAATGGCATATAGACTACCATAAAGAAATGCTTATCACCTCTGATCCTACACCTGATTTGAAAACCATTTGCGTAAAACAGCAGCAACTCTAATGCAGTTCCTCACTGAAAAACCTGAGGAGGACAAGCAGAACAGCAATCTGAGATGAACAATCCGCCAGTTACCAAATGATCTTAGTTTTAATTCACTATGAGAGGAGGAAAAACAGAAAACAAACACAAAAACATTGCATAGAATCAATTTGTACTGAAACTGGGCAAACTAACAACTGTTGTGTCTTGGAGAAGGAAAAAAAAAGTTACAGCAGATTTTAACACTTTGAGGCCTGTTCCAGTACAGAGTATTTGGCTTGTGAGGAAAATGAACTGTATGTGCTCCATTACAGTCATTGCTGAGCAGAACAGCATGCGTTCCACTGCAATGATTGCTGAGTAGGCTGTAGTCGGACTTGGCATTCGCATCTGTTGCACCATCCAGCAAGATTTTTTCTCACACATACACAGACACACACGCATATACACATCAGCCACCAATGACACCAAGGACTGGATAAAGTGCATCGTACGAAAACAAGGCCTAAACTTACCAAATGCAGTGTAGTCAAAAAGAAACCAGAGGAAAGAGTGAACACACTTCTCTCTCTGGTTGGTTGGTTTGGTCAGAGCGGGTCGGGACCAGGAACAACGGTGGTGCAAGTCCACCATATTACCAGCAGTAGCCATCAGTCATTTACAGATAAAACACTTCAGTAGATGAAACTAATCTGTCTACTGGCAAAAGCCCAAGTTATAGAACTGTGCAGCATTCACAAATGTGCCAGTTGCTGTCCAACTAGAAGTCCAGACCACAAAACAATCCAGCAGGGAGTGCATGAACCAGCAGACCTCCTATTCACAGAGAAACAGGTTTTTAACCTTACAGCAAGTCTCACCTCAGCATACATACTATTCCGAGCTCCATTTTACCTTACTGCTGACACAGCATGAGCATAGTTAAAAAATTAAGGACCTAGTTTGCCACTGTAGAGTTAAAATCATCTTAAGCCTATCCAGTGCTTGGTTTATCACAAGCTTTTTGTGCTACGACACTTCAAGGAAACTCACCCCACCTCAATAACCCACAGAACCAAAAATACAACAGCTAAGGACTATTGCAGAGTGATGTTACACCCTACACACATATATAAGGAGCAATGCCTACAGGAATGATGTACATATGCGGATCCACACACCACGTTTATAGCATACACAATAGGTACATGTTCACACACAATCGAGATCATCATAGCAGCTAGTTACAGCAGAAAAAATGTGGAAAAAGGACATAACTGTAGCTGGAGGAGACATGATTAAGAAATGTTATTGGACACACATTTATCCAAATAGATTAAATCTTCTCTTATCCTAAATATAGTTGGTAAAGCAAAGAGTTGATAATCCAGAGTTGTTCTTAATTGGATATTGGCACAAGACAAGAGGAATCACAAGGAATCATAGGCTCAGTGTGATGAAAACTGGTTACCAACATTCAAACTAACCATTTGTGGGGCAACATCAACAGCCAGCCAGCTTAGAACATCTAAAAATCACAGTATCAACAAGAAAAGTTCTGTTTGACCTCACGTGAAAAATCATACTTAGAACTATTGCCTACACTCTTATGATTATGGTCACTAGCTTAGACCATTCTCCTCTATGAAAATGGAGTAGCACACCAGAATCACATCTGAAGGTCTTCTGCTAGAATCTTGAAGACATAAGGTCATAAGAAATGGTTGCCACCACAGCTGTAGTCAGCTTTTGAGTCACCATTTGTCTCACAAGATGATGTACTTTCTACTTAAATGCACCACAAATATACCACAATAGCAACAAGGCTGACAAGGTCTGAATGTGTAAACTATTAATGGATATTCCTTAAGCACTCATGGCCTCTCATGAAATGCTACTGGATAGTAGAACCATGACTACATTTCTATAATACGACTGATTTGTATGTGGGTATTTGGAAGAGTGACTGTGTACAAGTCTAGTGTATGAATGGTCGATGGAAAGAAGACGAGGTAGAACAAATGAAATGTGGATCCTTGTCCGATTTCCTCATTACAGACGCAATACAGCAGCACACAGAGTCCTGTTAACAGCTCAACACAAACACAGTACGAGCTCACACCAAACCAGACTCATACAGACATAAACTGTGACTTCTGATGGCATTACTAGACAATAAGGGATATTACAGCATCATGTATCTTTAACTAGAGAATGTTGATTATAGCACACCAGAATCACACGCTTGAAGGTTCGCCACAAGACTCTTTTAAGATATAAGGTCATAAGAAGAAATGTTTGACCACTCAGATGTACTGAGCTGTTGAGGCTTTCTCAGTGTACATGTGAAGTCAGTCATGTCAGCAAGGTTTTCCTTTTATCCTCCTTAGCTTCAGATCCTCAGCAGATACACGTTGGCAACATCCTCAAGTTTCTTGGCCTCTTTTTGTCTGAAGATCTATCTGAGACAGAGAATGCTAAAACAACTATAAATCAACAAAATACATTTTCTGATTAAACTGTTGATTAAAAACAAATAAAAGAGGTCAAACTGTAAATTCTCAAACAATATAAATCATTCAATTAAAATCAAGGTCGAAGATAACAATAAAAACTACAATTGATTTTCTAAATTCAGTGTCTCCATGTTTATAGATTGAAAACATACTAAATTTTAAATAAAGCCCAGTCTTTGGGACGGAACTTAGCACGTAAAATGATTTAAAAAAGAGGAAAAAAAAACAAAAACAAACTATTAACAGTTTACAATAAAGAACGTCTTGATAGAGATTGCACATGACCCGAGGGTTCAGCAGGAATGCATATCGAGACACTGCAGCGATTGTTTAGAATCTTGTCAGGTGAACAACCCAAACCTTATTGCTTTATTTCTAACTTCTTTTGAAATATAGATTATGTGAGTAAACTAATCTCTGAATTCCCAAAATAACATGCCTGGTCTCCACTGCTCACCACATAGCTTATTTGACTTAACCGTTCAGCCAGAATGTCTGGCCACCATCTCCACTGCAAATTATCTAATAAACTTTTTTTTAAACTGGTTGAAAAACTACTGTAATGATTTTATTTAAGACTATGACAACTCTACCACAGAGAGGGTGGCATTCAGGCTAATCATTTCCCATTTTTGGTCATTCAGTGTAAATTAGTTAGCATATTATGTTATAGTGAATGCTTAAGGCAGGATTGTAAACGCCACTCCACAGCCAATCAGTTTTACTCCCAATGTCTGACCAGGTGTAGATGACTGGGTGATGGGTTTATAGCCTCACAGTGGAGATGCTGGACTCTGGTCCCTTGACCAGTGCAGACCAGGCACTACATCCAAATCCACAACATCCTGTCATGTGTTGGTCTGCCTCAAGTGGAATGCTTGGTTTGGTCTGAGAGAGAGAAGGAAGGGGTAAAACAGAGAGACAGAAAAGAGAGAGAAAGAAAAATAAAGAAAGACACAGTGGAGTTAACCCCATGAACTTCTGTCAGCAGGTGAAAACTTCCATTTCCTCACCATCATAACTACATATGCTACATGGTAGTTTCATAGCAGTTGCTGATTAATTCATAGAATTAAATGAAAAATAAGCCTTATGCTGCAGTTACACGCAAAAATCTTTCCATGCCAAATAGCAGTACATGACTGACGGTAGAATGCAGCCATGGAAATGTTGCCATGGAAACTGCATTACCAGCAAAAAAGCACTGCTGTCAGTGGAGAGTTTAAACAGTGACGTCTAATTATTTAAGGTGGAAAATGTCCAGAGGATGCTCTGTACTCTTTTCATTTTTGTGGTATCCTACTGAGAACGCCAGAAATAACCAGCATTAAGATTAATAACTGAATAACCACTTAAACTCTAGGCTTATTAGTCTTTATTATTATTTATTAGCAATTTTCAATTCAATTTTCTACCCAATTTAGACATATCCAATTCCACATACTAGTTAGGACTTCCCCAATTACATGATACACCAGTGCTAGGAGAGCGAAAGCTATCACAGTCTTCCTCAAAGACATGTTTTCGAACTGCCGCTAACGCAACGTCATTTGACAGCTGAATGTGCTTGGAGGACAGCGTAACCGCCAGTTCTTTTACATCAGCTTACAGCCGCCTGCGCTGGCTAGCATCGCGCTGGATGACAGCGCGAGTGAGACATCCTACCCACCCAGAGAGCGTGACCAAGTGTGCTCTCGTGGATTCCTGGCCACAGAGGCTGTAGCATCACCAGGGATCAGACTCGCAATATCCCGATGACAGGGCCAACGCTTAGACGGGAGGTTTGTTTACTGATAACTGCTATGAATGATTCAGTAACTGCCATAAAACTTATGTATGTTATGTTGTTCTGAGAGGAAGGAACTGAAATGTGGGCCCACATACAGGTCCTAAGGGTTTAAGAGGATAATAAGCATGGAGTTTAAAGGAATACTGCAGCGTTTTTCAACCTAATCTCTATTTGCAGCATCTGCAGTGTACAGTCTATTACCATAGACAATAATCAACTAAGAACAATGGGCAGGTACTTCAGTGGGTCATGCTGGCAAATAGAAATTATTTTAAAAAAACAGTGTAATCCTTTAAGGGGTTAACCCACATCCCTGACAACACCAGAACCATTCAACATGGCTCTAAAAAAAACCCCACAAAAAAGGACTGAAGGAAACGAGACGAAGGCAAAAAGATGGTGACGAGGCGGGCAGCCAGGAGGGCTACACCTGTGATATGATCTGCATGTTGAAACTGGGTGAACGGGACTGCTTGGTTAGAGGGGTTCCAGGAGACAGCAGCTCTTTACCCTCCTCCGGCCGCACCAGGTGCTCCTCCTTTAGGCTGAGGTTGGAGTGCCGGTGGGACCCCCCACCGGAGCCTAACCGTCCAGTCAAGGCTGCCCCTTCCTCAAGGTCCAGTGCTCCGGCTCCTGCTCCGTCTCGGGACCTGCTGAGTCTCGCGTGCATGCTGGACGAGGCGCTAGCAGTCCGAGTCAGCACGGTCCCCCCCATGGAGAAGATCTGCGGCTTTTTAATGGGGTTCAGTTCAATAGCGTCCAGAGTGATGGTGGGTGGGGGTGACTGTGGCCTCAATTGCTGTCTCCTCTGAGTAGGCTGGGCATCAACGAGTGGCTCTTTATGTTTCTCTACTGAGGCTTCTCGCTCCCTCTCCCTGGACGTGCGGCTAATGCTGCTCTTCTTGGAGCTCTTCTGGCTGCTGGCACGGCCCCCCCCGCTGCTGCCCACAGGCCTGCCCCCACTGGGCTGGCTGCTGTTGGATGCGCCCGATGAGAAGCCTTCATCAGGGTCATTTAGGTTGAAGGACTCCTCGCCTCCACTCATGCCATCTGCGTCTGAGAGAGAGAGAGAGAGAGAGAGAGAGAGAGAGAGAGAGAGAGAGAGAGAGAGAGAGAGAGAGAGATTGAGTAAGTGAGTGAGTGAGTGAGTGAGTGAGTGAGAGAGAGACAGAGACAGAGAGAGAGAGAGAGAGAGAGAGAGAGAGAGAGAGAGAGAGAGAGTGAGTGAGTGAGTGAGTGAGTGAGTGAGTGAGTGAGTGAGAGTGAGAGAGAGAGAGAGAGAGAGAGTGAGTGAGTGAGTGAGAGAGAGAGAGAGAGAAAGAGAGAAACATTTCTGGCTTTATAAGTGTCAAAAGAGCATAATAATAGGGTGTAGTATAAAGCACTATTGGAGCTGGGTTAGTTGTACTAGGCAGGTTCTGTAAGGGATTTGATTGTCTAAATAATGCAGGATAAAGTGTGTAATTTTTCCAAATTACCACAAGCCCGACCTGACAGACATTTTAGTCAACACACCACTGATTCGTGCATTTCATTCACACGTTTAACAGTCTGAAGTTTTTCCACACAACAGAGCTTTTGTTTGCTCCATTTGAAGAGAAGAAACAGCAATGAAACCACATCGGCAGGAACTCAGAAACGTGTTTGCAGTTAACAAAAGAAGTTGAGTTATTCAATAATACATTATGCATGACTTTCTTTAAATCAGTTAATGCCAAAAAACATACGCGTCTAAGCGTGACTAATTGAAAATCCTGTTTTTTAACAAGAAAATATTATGCTAAATATTTTTATATATGCATTACAGTTCATTCACTCTAGAATTATTACTGTCAGACTTGCAAAAACTATGGACACTGCAAATTAATTTTGGATTAAAATCATGGATCTCATTGCTAATCCATTAAATTATAGTACCTCCACAGGTAAAACTAATCCAGCTCAAATAGGGCTTATATCTAATCCACATGAATGCCCTCTGGTAAATTCATATGTTACAAATTATAAATGATTCATCATTACTGAATGAGTTTTATATGCGTCATTTTTCAAATCCACTTTGTAATTCAGCTGTGGATAGAGCTTACCTACCAACACCATCAAACAAAAAACAAAGCCTCTCAATAGATGAGCACTGCCCTGACGCTTTGAACTAAATGAGATTGAAGTGGAGTTAAAAATAGGCCCGTTTCTCTCTCTCAGTCCGCCAGCACTCATGATGATGTCTGAGGCGTGTTCATGCTTTTCCATCAGCTGTTCACCCTGAAGTCCTATTGCAATTACAGCCACTTCACCTGGGCTAACCTTGACATTTGAATCATACTAGGCGTGAGGACACTGGAGAGCATTCATCACAAACTGTCTGATAGCAGTACATAAATCAATATCAGTATCCTTACACATGTTTTGCATTCAACTGAGACTGCGGCTTTAGAACCTCAGGAAAAACCTACAATAAGAGCTTTGTTTTACTGTAATTACTAGGGATTTGTAACCTAACTATTAGTTTTTTCTAAATCTTCCCATAATTAAATTGTTAAGATGCAAACAGAGCAATTTGATTAAATCTGAAGTGATTAAAACCTCTAAGAGTTCCCTCACAGAAAGTTACCGCCTGCTGCCTGAGCCTTGGTTTAATGATAGTTTTGAGAGAAAGTTTTTAGCCTAAAACGTGTTTTTAAAATGAATGCAGGGCAGCAAAATACATGCAGGGCACTGTAAGGCAAAACAGTACCTAAACATTTTCTCATTTTGGTAGTTAACACTGTTTTGCCATTATCAACTTTACATATAAAAACTAAGATGTGTAGTTTCACAGGTCATTCTGTACAGCAAATAAAATAGCTTTATTTGTGGTGTTTATTATATTTGAGTCTGTACTTTACTATACAGTGCACCATTTCAAACCACTCTAAATAGCTTTGTTTATATCTCAATGACTGGATTATGCAGAAATGGTGAAAAAAATCAGTGGAGTTCACCTTTAAGATTAAGAGATGGAAATAAAAATAGCATGTCTGAGAAATCAAATTACCACTGATGAATGAAACCATTCTGCTTAAGATGAGTCTGAACATATGAAGTCCTTTTATGACACCAACAAAAACACATGACAACAAAAAACACAATGGAGATCCGCTTAGTGGCCATCCAGAATGCTAGGACAGCAAGAGAATAGAAGGACATGAATTGAGTGAAAAAAGACTGTTAAACATTCAACAGAAATATGACAGAGAAAGACAGACGAGACAGAGAGAAGTAGCATGCAGCATTAGGCAGGCAAAATCTGGGTCTGTAGGTTTCTGTTCTCCACAGGTGGACAGCGTTCCAAAAGAAAGAGGGAGAAAAGGCCAAAGGAGAGAAAGAGAGTAAGACAAAAGTAAAAGACTAAAGGAAGACATGCAGATGTTGAGACCACCAGCACGTGTGCTCTCCTTTAACTCTCCTGACTTGGACTGCAGCTGATTCGTCGAGGAACTTTTCAATCAAGTGCTGTGTGGATTATCTGTACATAAATTGTGATGTACATAAATTCTGAGGTACATCACGATGGTGTACGATTTGCTGCAAGACTATAGACTCAATATATGAACAAACATGAAGACTAAACCAAGCTCAAACATCAGGGTTCCGTAAGTATCCACAAGCCAGTATATTTTTGAACATTTTTCAGCCAAACCGGAGAGCATCTGGTTCGCAGCTGCGGCTACAGGACAAGGAGGCTAAGAGGTGCTGGAGCTGAACATGGATTGGAGCACTGGCAGATCCGCCTCTTGGGGGTTGATCCTCTGGGGGCTTGATCTGAAGCTTGTGCCTGCTGTTTAAATCTGCCTCAGCATGCGCATGCTTAGAGGCAAGGCATGAAGGCCGAATGGTCAGGGGAAAGACTCGTTCTCACTAACTGAGCTTGCTCCTAGTGTTTTCAAAACTGCACAGATACATGCAACTCTCCTTTTATCAGAAGAAGTAATAAGTGATCACTGTCATGAAAAAACCTCTAACGTGAAACTGTCAAAGCCAAAATGAAAAATGGAACCATCTGCTTACAGCTTTTCGCATCTCACAGCGAAGGACAGTCTCTAGAGTGAGACTGTTCTATTTAAAGACTAAGGAACGCCTTCTGATTATGTATCTTGAAGGTGGAAGGAACGTCTAAAAAAAACTCTGGGTTTTGGGGTGGATTTTGAAGGCGGCCTGTTTGATTTATTTTTGTTTTTTTTGTTTTATTTTTGTTAGCTGGTGAATGCAGAAGCTAACATTACTGCTAGGAATCTGCTGGATATCTTATTGAAACCATATAACTGCATTAAATGTCTTCGTATCATTACTATAATGGAGAGACTGGGGTACTCAAATAGAACAGATCAGATCAGAATTACAACAAGGTAAAAGGTAACATCTGCAAATTAGCTGCCTACCTAGATACGTTTGGCACATTTTCTCTAAAGGTTAAAACCTCTGGTATCCTGTTTTGTGATAAATAACAATATAAATAACTGTTTTCTTTACGATTATGTTCCACAACCAAGATAAGAGCTGCAGTAATGCTTGCTTGCATTTACTGTCCTGTAGATCAGCTAGCCTAGCAGTCAGAATTGGTTGCCACCACAGAGCTCCTTAATTGTACTGTAGTGAGAGAAGACTGATAAACGAAAACGAGGAAACAGTATAAAATAGTGAATTCTGTCAAAACAAGGGAAATAGTGCTGTACTACAAATTACTGTAAAACGACAAATAACATTAAACTCGTTTTTAAACCAGAATGCCCCTTTAACATCACTATTCCCTGAATTTATCATGAAATGTTCACATAATGAAAAGGACAGGTGTCATTTTAAAATGGTTTAAGAAAAAACATTTTAAAATGACACCTAAAACCAAGCAAATTTCAAAGTTTTCTTATGACAGTGAAATCCAGTGTAAGCTAACGTTGGTGTTATGACCTTAAATAGTTGTTAATGGACAGTATAATCATAATGTTAACCCTAACCTAAAAGGGATGCCACAACCTCAAACATTAACCTGCTTAGCAATGAATGAAAGTCTATAGGCTCAGTTAGCATGAATCATCCTAACTTGCACAAATAACTTTTATTTGACGCTAGCCTTCTGAACATTTATGGCATAACTACCTTGTAACACTGATCCGTAACCTAAAACACTTTTTATCAGTACTGCAATTTAAGCAGATGTTGTTTGCATCACTAGAGGCAATGGATGTGATGTCCATATGTTTAGTTACACTGTACTCCAGGAAAAATCCTCTTCAAACAGCCTGCCAACAGCTGTGATGAAGAGGACTCTTAAAGCCAGTTCCAGGAGAGGGCATGTTGTCCCAAAACACAGATGGGTCCAGGTAACTCCTTGAAGGAGAAGCTATGACTTGCAACAAATCTAATCAGTGCTCTTAAGCATTTTACCTATGGCTAATCTATCTCATTGAGCACGCTCAGTTGGTGACATATGGGCAGCACCCAAAGAGGGCTGACACAAGACGCAAAGAGGTCGAAGGTTGTTTAGTTTATTTGGGATTTCATGCATGTACCCAGCACACTTGTATGGCGTTCGAAGTTCAGCAAGACGTTGGGATTTGTTAATATTTAGTTCCGAGCAAGCAACTGGAGAGCTAGCAGCGTCTGGGAAAGTCAGGGTACCCAAAAAAGCAGGAACATTACTGGAGCAAATGAAGGAAAGCCCCTCCTCCGTTTGAAGTCTCCTCTCCCGCCTCCCCCCAAACGCCTACCCTCATTTGTGACTGTGAGTATGCCCCTCCCTCCTCGCACAGGATTGTCTGCCAGGTCCTTGGGGGTGTGGCGACCAGATTGGATGGTGAGGTTGAACTCTGCTTCAGTTGAGAAGTCAAAACAATCTGTGATTCAACACAACAGGGTGGAAATGTGCTCCTTAGTGTGGGTCCTGTTATACTCCATCATGAAGCACTCGACAGTGAAGAATTTGTCTGCGCAGTTTTACAGTACTGTACATCAACAGATGACATAAGACTCAAAGAAGAAAATAAAGAAAAGACAACAGTAAAAGGAAAGACATAACAATTTTACATTAAAAAACAACACAAAACTGTTAACATTGTTTTTGACAGATGATGAAAAATTAGACTGGTTTTAGAACAGGAAAAAGATCCTCTATGTCTGAGAGTTGTACAGACTCTCTTGGTCTCTATACAGAACAAACAGGTGAAATCAAAGGTTTTGTTGCATACCTGTAGGGAAGCACAGTGATATCAGATCTATATCAGTATAGGCAGATATTTGCTTAAAAAATAATATCGGGATCAGACTGACAGGGTTGAGTCAATGTTCCAAACAGATATTTGATGATGTATTTATTGTACTCCAGAAGACCAGAATGTTGAGGTGCCGCTAAACACAGAAGTAAATCTACTAATAATTGGCTAAAAACTAAGAAATGCAGGGTTATGGAATGGCCTAGTGAAAGTCCAGATCTGAAGCCCATGGAAATGCTGTGGGGGAGCTTTGAAACAGGATGTATATGTAAGAAACCCCTTAAACATTGCACAGATGAAAGAATTCTGCATTGAGGAATGGGCAAAAATTTCTCCCAGTAGATGTCACAAACTGACAATTATAGGAATCACCGACAAAGTTGTTTCTGCCAAAGGTGTACTTACTTTTTAACAGACAAATATGCAAATATGACTTTTTTTTAATAAGTTACTGCAAAATCAAATTGCCATTGTTTTTGTTCTATTACATAACATTTATCTATACATACTGTTTAACTAAAGACCAAATAGTGATATGTCTATATGTGTCAAAAAAAAAGAAACATTTCATGGGGTGTAGTTATTTCTTCACATGACTATATATGTACCAGGCTTCTAAGAGTATGACTGGTGATGATGAATCCTAATCAGAATATGGTATGAAACAGGCCTTGGGCCAATGCAGTCAGTTTGGTATTAATTCAGAAGAGGAGTTAAATTTCCAAATCAAATCAAAGTTGAACCAGATTTGAGAGTTTTGCTTAAAAATATACCAGTCAGCATCAAATATCAGTTATCTTTCAGCTTGTTAACAGAGCTGGCGGAGCTGAAATTGAATCACTGAGACAGGACTATCCCCAACCATGCCTAAACTAATTGACTGTGTGAACAGTAGAGGGAGCTGTTTCTATCTCAGTTCCAAGGGTCCCTTACCTTCTCTCTTCCAGCGGAGTCTGCGGATGGACGCTGCTGTGACAGCTGAGCGGCAGATTCTGCTTATGGTGGGCGTCACCTCTACCTGCAGGACCTTCTTTCCACGAGTGCCATCGGGAGCACTGTCTGGCAATGAGTTCTTCATCGCGTTCCCCAACTGAGGAAGAGGAATATGGAGAGAAGCCATGAAGCATACAGGCAAAGACTGCTCAGTATAGGAAAAACAATAATCTGTAACCACAGTTTTAATATAAATTGAGGATAAAATCTCTTGAAACTAAAAAAAAAAAAAAAGATTTTTTTTTTAAATATTTAAAATACATTTAAAATAATGTCACTTGCCCTTTATATTGTGAGACAATTTCATGACCAGTAGACCATTAGAAATGGCCCAAAATGACTTGAAAACATGTTACATTAACTTAAAAAAAGTTATTTATGTTACTCCTTTTCCTGAAAAATAACCATTTTGGAGATACAAAGCTACTGTCTCTGACTTCACATCTACATGGTAGACCAACAAGGTGAGTGTGTCTAATAGAGTGGACAGTGTTTAAAAACTCCAGCAGCACTGCTGTGTCTGATCCACTCTTACCAGTGCAACACACGCTAACACGCCACCACCACATCAGTGTCCCTGCAGAGCTGAGAATGATCCACTACCCAAATAATACCTGCTCTGTGGTGGTCCTGTGGGGATCTGAGCCATTGTTGAACATGGTAAAGGTGAGATAACAAAGTATGTAAACAGATGGACTACAGTCTGTAATTGTAGAACTACGAAGTGCTCCTATATGGTAAGTGGAGCTGCTAAAATGGACAATGAGTGTACATATAAGGGGTGTTCCTAATAAAGTGCTCAGTGAGTATATATACAGTGCTGTGAAAAAGTAGATTTCTTTCGTTAATTTGTCAGATTTAAATGTTTCAGATCATCCATCTAATTTTAATATAAGATAGACAACACGAGTAAACATGCAGTTTTTAAATGATTATACCATTTATTGAAGATAAAAATGTTTTCAAAACCTATATCACCCATGTGAAAAAGCAATTGCCCCCTAAACCTAATCACTAGTTGTGCCACCCTTGGCAGTAACAACTGCAATCAAATGCTTGCAATAACTTGTGATGAGTCTTTTAGATCACTGTGGAAGGATTTTGGCTGACTCTTCTTTCCAGAATTGTTTTAATTTGGCTACATTGGAGGGTTTTTGAGCATGAACTGACTGTTTAAGGTCGTGCCTCAGTGTCTCAATGGGACTCAAGTGAGACTTTGACTTGGTCACTCCAAAACCTTAATTTTGTTTCTTTTGAGCCATTCAGAGGCAGACTTGCTTGTGTGTTTTGAATCATTGTCCTGCTGTATATCCCAACTGCACTTGAGCTTTAGGTCACAAACTGACAGGCAGATATTCTCCTTCAGGATTTTGTGACACAGAGCAGAATTCATGGTTCCATCAATTATGAAAAATCATCCAGGTGCTGCAAAAGCGAAGCAGCCCTGGACCATCACACTACCACCACCACGTTTGAGTGTTGGTATGATATTCTTATGCTGGAATGCGATGTTAGCTTTACGCCAGATGTAACGGGACCCATGTCTTCCAAAAAGTTCCACCTTTAACTCATCAGCCCACAGGACATAATCCCAAAGTCTTGGTCATATAGATGTTTTTTGGCAAATGCGTGATGAGCCTTTGTGTTCTTGGTCAGGAGTGATTTGCATCCTACAACTCTCCTATGGATGTCTTTTTTGTCCACTGTCTTTCTTATTGTGGAATTCTGTACACTGACCTTAACTGAGGCAAGTGAGGCCTGCAGTTCTTTAGATGTTCGGCTGGGTTCTTTTGAGACCTCCTGGATGAGTCGTCGATGCGCTCTTGGTGAAATTTTGATAGTCTGACCACTCCTGGGAAGGTTCACCACTGTTCCACATTTTCTTCATTTGTGGATAATGGCTCTCACTGTGGTTCACTGAGTCCTAGGGCCTTAGCAATGGCTTCATAACCCTTTCCAGACTGGTAGCTTTCAGTGACTTTGCTTCACAACTGTATCTGAATCTCTTTAGAACTTGGCATCATGTGCTGTTTTATGAGACCTTCTAGTCTGCTTCAGGTTCTATTTAAGTGATGTTTAGGCTCAACTGGTCAGGCAGTAATCACGCCTGAGTGTGGATAGTGAAATTGAACCCAGTAGTCAATTGAATTTGATGAACTGGTTGATTTAGTAGCTAAAGGAGGGAATTACTTTTTCACACAGGGCCAGGCAGGACTGAACAGCATTTTTCCTTCAATAAATGAAATCATCATTTAAAAACAACATTTTATGTTTATGTGGGTTACCACGGTCTAATATTAAAAGCAGTTTGATCTGAAACATTAAAGTGTGTCAAATACGCAAAATATATATATTTATATGTAGTCGCTGTCCAAAGAAAACCATGTATCTCCATTTTTTCCAGCTGTCCTTTATGTTGTGTAATTGTGTCCTTTACGTTGTGTAAAAAAATTCATGATGCATGGACCAATAGAAATGCTCTATAATCACTTGAAATAAAATCTCTTTACACTGATTTATATTGAAAGGTAAGAGTGTTTTGCCTTCTCCTGTAAAGTTACTATTTTGGAGATACTTGGTTTTCTTCGGATAGCGACGATAAAAAACAGCTCTTACAGTTCACAGTTGTCTTATGCTGCAACAAGCAAAATGTGAATTGTGTGTGATGGGTTAAAAGAAAGTAGTCAATGAATTCATAAAGACACATCATAGTACTGGTAAAAACAGAAGTTCTAACCTGGTGCTCTAACATGTTTAGAGGGCAGTCCTGAGAACTGTTTATTTAAGTAGTTTTGTAGGTAATTTTGAAGTTTTTAGCACGTATGATAAAATGGGGTTTTCTTCTTGTATTCTCACTCTCAATTAAAAAAATACCTTTTCTTGACTCTGCAAATCATTCTCTGTAATGACAGATATTTGTGAGAGAATGTGCGCAACAGTGCAGTGTATAATTTCGACAACCAGTGTTAGCTACTAAGTAAACATAGCTAGTCTTGCTTGGCTGCTTTAGGCTTGTCTGTTAACAGCTGCGTACATATGACAGTTCATGATTGTGACAGGCCTACCATATGGGCTGTTTATATAGAAATTGCTGGGTATGAGGTTACGAAAAGTAGAACTGTGGAAAATGTGTGCACATTTTCATTAGTCAGTGTAACGTGCTGTAGTATCTCACCAGTAGCGGCTCAGAATAGAGCTCCAGCTGGGCTCTGTACAAAATATCATCCAGTGCTTCTCTCCCTAGGTCCCACTCTCCATTATAACTGGAAGAAAACACACACACACACACACATTATGTGTCTAATGCCAGCAAGCTTAATTTATGTTAGCTAAATTAGGTAATGATCAGAAGCCTTCCAGTGAGGGCTAACAAACCCTGAAATTACTGCTTCAGCACACAGATGAACATGCAGCAGTCAGCACAGATTAAATGAAGGATAAAGTGGGTTAAGAAAAAAAAAAAGTAATTTGTAAACATCATGATTCTCCTCCTACAGCAGGCATTTCTTTTTCTTTCCCTGCTGAAAACCGCCTTAAAGATCCCTGCTGTTTGTCATGTGCTGTAGTCAGGCAGACATCTGTTTATCCCTTAAAGCTCAGAGATGCTCAGTCATCTTTCATCTACAGTCGACAACCAGGACAGCCACACAGTGTGTGACAATGCGAGTATTCCCCCTCACCCAAAGAGGAACCAGGAGAACCTAAATCACACTCTTTGATCTGAAGTTTGTGTTACAGGCACACTCTGGAGACAGCATGATACACGTTTCATTTTGATTTGAAGTGACAACGCAGTTGGAGGTGCTACTGTTCTTTGCTCTTTTATTGCGTCCTCTCAGTGTCTCATGGCAATACGATGTTAAAAACACTCTGTCGCCTCATGAAGATGCTCTCATGTTTGACAGTGTCTCTCTGCAATCAGTACTAGTTATGGAATGCACCAGGATTTCCAGAACCTTCTTTAAGCTGAGGCTAGCATACTCTAGGAAAATAGAGAAGAGAAATGAGCTATTAAAAAGCAGAGTAGTATCTGCAGAAAAGGCAACAAACTCCAGCACTAGAGGAACATAATATTACACAGAATAGTGTTCCCCTGCTATGGAAGGCTCAAATGCTAAACTGTGCAGTTTTATGGCCCAAAATAATAGGCTGTTTAACCTTTACCCTGTATATATATATATATATATATATATATATATATATATATATATATATATATATATATATATACACACATATATTTACACACATACACAGGCGCAAACACACACATAAATGTAATTATATGCCTAATTACATAGTTACATAACATTAGCACATCTACATTCTGCATCAGGGTTGGGTTTGCACTTCTAAAACAAGACACTGCACACAACAACAACAATGAATCCTCTTCTAATTATAAGCACAAATGTGGTTTGTGCAACAGAATTTCTCTGCTTATTTTAAAGAGCTACAAGTGCAAAATAACTAAACACAAAGAGATGTTGCAACGTATAACGGTTTGTTGGCTGTGGAAAAAAGAAGGCTGAGCATTTCTGATCTTTAAGGGTCATCATTTTCCAATGAAAACAATGAAAGTGTGGTCACACTCTCTCATATCAGACCAATCAGAGCAGAGACTTCATTATCATCTCTAACACATTTAGCAGTGACTGCCTACAGATTAAATGAAATCGGCTGCTCCCCTGGGGCCTAGATAATGGAATGAAGGCCATGCTAATCGAGGGCTGAAGACAGGGGGAGAGAGACACTAAGCATGTCAGAGCAGCACGGACAGCCTGGTTCCTCATCTGGTTCCACCCTGTCGCGACTGGTTTTAGTTATTGTCTTCATGTATATATGCACATACTGCGTCGTCTCTGTTCGATTTCCGAAAACACTGCTTGTGTGTCCTATATCCAGTGACATACTGTGTCACATGGAGACACAATATGTCATTGGATTCTCCCATCTTCCCCTAAGCACCATGCAGCCTCAAACCAGAGTGACCGCTCAATGACCCTATCCTGGTGAAATATAGATTTCTTTCTTTCTTTTACTGTACATGCTGTGTATTAAGAGAATTTTCTATCAAAGCAGAGATTATTTTAGTTGATAATATATTGGTTTTATTTTTAAATAAGTTTTATAAAAGGCAATATTAGTACATACACCATAGAGATACACCGATCAGGCATAACATTATGACCACCTCCTTGTTTCTACACTCACTGTCCCTTTTATCAGCTCCACTTACTATATAGGTGCACTTTGTTGTTCTACAATTACAGACTGTAGTCCATCTGTTTCTCTGCATACTTTCTTAGCCCCCTTTTACCCTGTTCTTCAGTGGTCAGGACCCCTATGGACCCTCACAGAGCAGGTACTATTTGGGTGGTGGATCATTCTCAGGCCTGCAGCAACACTGACGTGATGGTGGTGTGTTAGTGTGCTGGTCTGAGTGGATCAGACACAGCAGTGCAGCTGGTGTTTTTAAACACTGTGTCCACTCACTGTCCACTCTATTAGACACTCCTACCTTGTCAGTCCACCTTGTAGATGTAAAGTCAGAGACGATAGCTCATCTGCTGCTGCACAATTTGTGTTGGTCATCCTCCAGTCCTTCATCAGTGGTCACAGGATGCTGCCCACAGGCCGCTGTTGGCTGGATATTTTTGGTTGGTGGACTCTCAGTCAAGCCGTTTTTTAAAACTCAGCAGCACTGCTGTGTCTGATCTGCTCAGACCAGCACAACACACCACCACACACAAAACACACACCTCCTGACCACTGAAGAACAGGGTAAAAGGGGACTAACAAAGTATGCAGAGAAACAGATGGACTACAGTCTGTAATTGTAGAACTACAAAGTGCACCTATATAGTAAGTGGAGCTGATAAAATGGACAATGAGTGTAGAAACAAGGAGGTGGTCATAATGTTAAACATATATACAAAAAAAAAAGTTAAACATATATACATCCTGGATAAGTTTGGGTGTTCATAATGTGGCTTGAATATTACAGTCTGGGCAGTGCAGGCAATGATTCTACGTAAGTACTGCTACTCATAGAAACTGATCTAGAGACAGAGACTACTTGGGATATTTATGTGAAGGATCCAGTGAAGGTGTCTCTCTGCACTATATCTCTGTATGAAAAAGCTACAGTCAAACTGCAGTGTGCATAACTGTACCATTAAAATCTTGGCCACACCTACTAATAAAAGGTATTTCTTATATTCTCCACATTTTAGGATATTACAGAACACATTAAAGCTATGAAATGAACCTATAGAACTATGCACTGACAAAAAAAGGGTTGAACAAATAAAAACCTGTTCACAGTAGTCCCCTGTTTGCCTTGAGTTAGCTTTGCACACTGCCTCAAGCAGCTTCAAGAGGAGCCACCTGGGATGCTTTTCCAACAGACCTGAATAAGTTCCATACATGCTGTGACCTTGCTGACTATTGAAAACAACTTATTAGGGGACATTGCAAAATATATACTTAAACTTTTATAAATAAACATGTAAACAGGCATAAAATTAATTTGCCTTATAAAGACAAATGAGTGCAGTGTAACACTTACATGGCGTGATAGACGGCTGTGAGCATCTGCACCATGAACTCAGCGTCCAGCACTACACGGTTACACGGCTCCCGCCACATCTTCTGCTGCTGCCGCGGAAACCCACAGACACACAGCCTAAAACAGACACAGCACTGTTAATACACACAGACACCCTGAGGAACAATACTCATACACACAACTAACACGTGGTAGTAACACATAATACACACACAGAAGACACAAGAGTAAAAGCCAGAAGGGTAATGGATGAAACAGTGACACACACAGCATCTTCAGCGTCTAAAAACCTGCTGAGCGCTAATGAGGTACTTCATCACAGCTGACAGAAAGTTTGTGTCTGTGTGTTAACATTATTCAGCGCACTTTTAGACAAATAGATTACCAAGATGCATTTCATTCTGGTGTGACCAAGTTTCCTGTCAGTGAAGTTTTTGTTATAAACGTTCCTACTGGGGCAAACTGTAAGTCGCTCAGGATAGGAGCATCTGCCTAATGCCAGAAATGTAAATTTAAACTGGCTGGATGAAAGCATTTGTTAAACATGTATAAACAGATAAAGCCAGTTTTTAATGTTTGTCTACTTTACAAATAAAAGCATCTACTAAATATGTAAATATAAGGACTTTTTTTTAATGTTGATTTGTCTAATTCACAACACTGATTAGCTTCAATAAAAAGACTGGCGTGAGATGAACAAAGTGTAAAAACTCATTTAATAAAACATTGTTTTTATTTAAAGGAATAATTTGCAGTTAGAAGTAATAAACTGCAATATATTGCCATACTGTCATTTCCCAATACTTAAAATTTAACAAATCATTAAATATTGCAATAGAATTGTATTGTGATAACATCATATCATGAGGCCTGCAGCAATTCTCACCCCTAATGTACAAGACCCTGCATCCTGAGAATTTATAAAAACAAACATGTTTTTGTTAGTGCTCATGCATGTTTATTTTGCTGTGTGACGTAATGAATGTCAGTCTTACAAGTTGTGTGTCAACTGACTGTCAATCAAGTTGGACTATTTAAATGTCTGGAAACTGTCTGTGGCTTTATGATGCACAAAAAGTCTTAATATGTGTCTCACAAACTGTTTTTCTTTAACAAGTTTTCTTTTAATACTGTTAGAACATGTCCTGATATCCCTGATATGTTGCCTGGCATTACAGCATTCTGCAGTAGTGTGAGGCAGAACTTTTTTCCTTCCATTGTCATGCTGGTTAAACTGATAAAGCCGGGCAGCAGCCTTCAGGCATGAAAATGTTTCCCTCATGAAAACATGAACCGGGGCTTAAAAGACATTCATATTGTGATTACAGTTATTAAAAGGGTAAAAAAAGAACTCACAGCTACAGTAATAGTAGCCTTTAGGCTACTTGACATGGTTTAGCTGTTTTATTATTTTAACAAAAATCAATTTATAGGCTGTAAATACACAATTTACCACAGCTAACCAGCTTTTTGTCAGCTTTTGACAAAGAACAACGCTTATGTTGGCTATTTTCACCAGGTTTTAGCAGGCAGGGCAGGTAATGTGATGTTACCAAATAACCGCCAAATAACCTGCCATGGTGAAACAGATTATTATTCAGTTTACAGTTCTTGTTCCGTGCGCACTGTAAATGCAATCAGATTTTTTTTTTTTTTGTAACCTGCCCACCCCAACCCTTTTGTCTTTTTTTTAAAGACAAAACAGAGAGTAATATGTTACAGTAAATTAATATACAGCAAAACGGTCTGACTATATTTATGCCGCAGTATCATGCAACTAACTGATTCTGGATTAGTCCAGCTCCTGTTGATTCTTCTGCACTGTTTTATTGCAGCTCTGATTAGATCCACCCAAATCTCACAGGGACACGTTTCTGAAAGCTTGATTTACTGAATCAGGTGATTTGTATAGGATTTTGTAAATAATTAAACTGTTCAACGTAATGACTGTGAAGGCTGTTACCATATAATACACTAGAAAAAGAGTACAGCACTGGTACGCAATGGAATATTCCAGAAAATGTGCTTTATTTGGTTACACTAGCTGACAGTAAACCAGTGTGCTGGCTGCTGGCAAATTCACTTGTAAATTTGAAAAATAATAAAAATAAAATAATAATAATAATAATAATAATAATCACTGTTTCCATACTTTTGCCCTTTAGTGTACCTCTCATCTTTTTTAACTTTATGTCCCCATTATTTACTGAACAGTTTTGAACATAATGGTTATTTTGTAACTCTAGTATTTCTAATCAGCTCCTTACCGTGAGCTCATGCGGCACACAGCCTGGTAGGAAGAAGGGGGCATGTATACCACAGCTGAGTTGTAACACAGCATCAGGAAACACAGCACCTCAAACCTGAAAACACAGAGGAAACACACTCAGCAGGACAGGACAGCAGTCATTAGCTACAGCTTTGCTGATCCTGGCTTAAATGCAGTGATCTTAGTTATGGCTACTTTTGCACTGGAACTTCTCTTGGTGCTGAGCAGTGAGAAATTTTTTTTTTTTTTTCCACACCTCCCAAGTTCAGTCTTAGAACTTTGTTGCATTTTCTGCATCTCATGATTAAAGTAATCCCAAACACATTCAGTGATGTTGAGGTCCGGACTCTGGGGTGATCAATCCATTGTTCTGAGAACTCCAGAAGCTTATTTGTTTGATTTGCATTTTTTTGTCTGTTTCCTTTTCTCAGTAAGGGCTCCTTTACTGCTACACATCCTTTCAGACCCATAGCGCTGAGTTGTCTTCTTACAATGGAAGGATGGACAGAAACACCTGTGGATTTTTTCAGATCTGAAGCAAGAGTGGAGCTTGACTGTCTCCTCTCTCTCAAAGATGAAAGCTTTAAGTGCTAATATATATATATATATATATACACACACACACACACACACACTAGGGGTGCAGGAAAAACTCGATTCTTAGATGCATCGCGATGCGGACGTGAACGATTCTGAATCGATGCATAAATTTCAAAGATTTTCTAAATTTTTAATTTATACCGTAATGTTGACGGAACGCAAAAGGACATAAACGCAAAAGCACATAACAAAAACACAACTGGATGAGCGAGAAATCCGACCGGCTCCCTCTGCGTTACAGCCAGGTTAGGTCAGGAATCACAACACAAGAGCCAATTTGCCTTTCAACAAAGTCAAACCACCTTGGGAGCCACAACATTTAATGTCCAGTATGTTTCAGTATGTTATAATGTCCTAGTATGGGCTAAAAATATAAACGAGAGCGCAGATTTACTTCGCTTTGCTTTAAGCTTCAGCTACAGCCGTTTTCCTTCCATCTCCGCCAGAAAACTTCTTCAAAACTTGAAGAGTTTCTTGTAAAATGTCTCAGCATCCGGCTGTTTTACGAAGCTGAAGTCGCTTCTCATTCGCCAGCTTCTTTCGCATTTTCGCAACTTTTTAGAGAAAGATAGTCTCTCATTGCAGATTTAACCAACCGCGCTGCTTATTAATGCGAATAGTCCTCCAAATGTTCGTATTAATCTCTGTTTTTTCGTTCGCAACTGGTGAGGCCAGACTTCGGTGCTATGTGACCTGCTGTCTACTGTCTGTTCTCAGTCGTTGAGAACCAGGGCTTTCGCGCTATGCTGCACACTTTGGAGCCGAGATTCAGCGTCCAGTCTCGAAAATTTACATTATGGATCATTACAAATACTTTGCTTTAAAACTACCAAGTCCTCAGACAGTAGGAAGATAGAAATCCTGTATAGAGAAAAAAGATGCATTGAGATGCATCGATAATCGTTTTATAATCGCATCGCAGCCCTCTGAATCGTAATCGAATCAAATCGTGAGGTGCCTAAAGATTCCCACCCCTAATACACACACATATTTTAGTCATTTTTTTAAACTTCAGGTCTGGAAAGTCCTATTGTTCCACTTACATTTCTTTGACTTTCCTCCTTCATTATGCAAGTGGAATATCCTGTATCACAAAAATCTCTGAAACTTTTACTTAACAGCCATTTTCACTGGAAATTTAATAAATAAAAGGGCAGTATCTATTTGCTCATAAAAACACAAACACAAACCACTAATATAAACCACTAACACACACACATATATATATAGTAGATTTGTGAGGTTGGTAGATTACACTATAGAAAAATGTAACTAAATGTAATGTATTCTGTCTCAATATAGGAAAAACTGTATTGCAACTACATGAAATATGCAAGCTATCATGAAGTGTAAGCCATCACTGAATTATGCATCATGATGGCACAATGTAACCTGACTCTAGCCATGATCTTCAACAGGATTCAAATAGCTTTGGTGTCTGTTCTGTCCACAGACTCTCCCTTTCTGGATCCTCTGCTGGTCCCAGACAAGCCAGTATCGATTACCACACTGCTGCAGGCCACAATTATCACTCATGCATGCGAAGAGTGAATGTATGTAGCAGAGGTCCTGAAGTTCATTATGAACACATACAACTGTCTGAGAGTCGCAAAAAGGTTTAGGGTAGGGAGCAGGAACAATCTGAGAACTCTTTAGAGGCTCCTCATACATTCAATACTTAATGGAAATCTGAAGTAAGATTGAATGCTAGGTGGAGGCAAGTGCAAAAGTTAAAATAAAAAAGAAATGTAAATTAAAAATTAGAGCTGTTATAGTTGATTTTAATTAATGTGAATTATCCAAAGTGCTTAACAGTAGACTAGACATAACTTCACACAATTATAGGAAATATAAAAATCAATGAATTTGTGCTTCATCTACATTGGTTAGGTAAGCTACTGTACTTGTGCAGATAATTCATGACAAATGAAGTAAATAAAGGTCCTAAAAGAAGATATTTAGCAAAGGTTATGAAATGAATTGTTCCATAAAGTTAGGCAATCTGCATGTTACAACAACACATTCAGTAGAGTTTCTTTTCAAGACAATCAATTAGTCCATTTGTATGTCCTGTAAGAAAAAGAACTCTCGCTTCTTTTAATTACACTTCATTATGCACAAGTCTGGATTCTTAAGTGAGATGGTGCCACAAATATAGTGAACTGTAAACGGCATCACTCTAACATGAAGATTTCCAATGTTCAGTAAAAACGTTTTAACAAGGCCTTTTTAGCTTCAGTATTTATTATGATCAACTACCTGAAATGTAATTTTAATAGAAGAAACAAAGGAAATAAAAGAGAGAAGCAGGCCAGGCCAAGGTGCTTTAGTGAGTGCAGTAACAGGCTGTTGCAGAGGAGAAGCTCATTAATTTGAGAGGGTGCAGGGCTGCACCTCAGAGGCCTTCAGCCTGCTCTCAGAAACACGTCACACTGATCAATCTGTGATATTTATGAGGAGCAGGTGCTTTGGGGTGCTGTGTGCATGTGTGTCCGTATAGAAGCAACCAAAGGCATTGCTGAATGTGTGTGTGTGAGGTACCTGTTCTGTGCAGTGAAAGTCTCTCTCTGAGGATGCAGGCCACTGTACACCACTCTGATCAGATCATGCTGACACAGAGCTCCCTCTGTTAGAGCCATGGAACCAAGACTGGAGGGCTGAGGACAAACAGACAATACAGAATTTAAAACAAAAAACAAAACGAACAAAAAAAAAGGACATTTTTCTCTTGCCGAAACAGAGTATCTTCAAATGCTGCAGCCGTGCCTACTGCCTTTTGTCAGTGCAGCCTGTTTTGAATTAAATGTTTATGTGATGTCATGAATCAGTCAAATCAGTGCATCTGCATATATCCGCATGTTCAGCATGGACTGCTTTTAAATGAGACACAATAAAGAGCAGCCACTTACATACAGTACAGTGCACCAGGGTATTTGTATACAAGAGGCATTTAACTGGACAGTAGGCGTTTTTTTGCTCAGAAAACACTTATATATTAGAAAACATGCAAGCGACATCAATACAATAGGTAGTAATTTTTTAATGAATGTGTTCATTTAACTCTCCTCATAGCAGCCCATTATAGTTTGTAGTTATCATCCAATAGCTGGTTTGGCTAATCAGTGGTTCATTTAAAACTATCTGCTTGCATTCATTCTATGTTGTTTTATCAGCAAATCTAAGTTTTTAACAATTTAATTAAGTGCCTGAAACTTTACCACAGTACTGCATATAACTCTATACCAGGGGTCGGCAAAATGCTAAGAACAGCCATTTTGTCCTTTCTACAAAAATCAAACCACCTTGGAGCCACAGTATTTTATGTCCATTTTACCATCTTGGCTGTAAATATGTCTCAGTATATGCTGATGCGCCAGAATAGGATTAAAAATATCAACAAGAACGCAGACTTACTTTGCTATGCTTTAAGCTTTAGCTCAGCTATAGCCGCTTTTCTCGCAAAAATACAGCAGATCCTTGTAAATTGTCTCAACATCTGACTTTTTACAAGGCTGAAGTCAGCTTCTCATTCGAGTTTTCCCATTCCACCTTAAATGGTGCCTGAAGGGCCAGAATATAGCTAACTGCTGCACCTTTTAAGGTGAAACGGGACAATTCGAACAAGAAGCTGGAGAATGAGAAGCTGATTTTAGCATCACAACTTTTTAATGTTTGACAGTTCGTCTATAAATTAGCATTGTTTGACTTAGATCTTTCTCTTTGCCTTTTCATAAGCTACTAGCTAGGAAAGACTGTCTGTGTCGCTATGTGACCAGCAGTCTGCATGCCAATCTTCTGGGTTAAAGGTTGTTGAATTAGCAGTTATACATTAATTCCAGCGTTTATAACCATTTGTTGTTAAAGCTGTGCTAAAACGATAGACAAAGCTTTACTTTACTTCAAAGGAGGATTATTTTATTTTTACCTAAAAGTCTAATTCTGCTGTGGAGCCGCAACAGGGCAGTAAAAGAGTAGCCGACCCCTGGTCTATATTTTGCACTATACTGTATATCAAGCACAGCGATAACAACAGCCTGTTTAATTCTAAGGGGTAGGAGAGGTCAGAAAATGGTAATGTTAAAAATGAATTCTGACTGTTTTTGGTGCATAAAACCACATAAATGTCATACATGGACATAAAGAAAAATGCAAATATGGCCCTTTAATGTATAAATTTGGTGTAATGAGAATAGTTGACAAAATTCTTGCAGGACCAGCTTCTGACATGTAGAACTGTTAATGTTTAAAGTGGCCATACAAAGCAGCAGGTCTCCTGGTAACATTGGATTTCATGAGCACGTTCGTGAGATTCTTAAGTAAAAATGTGCTTTAGTATGTGGGGTTTCCCCAAACACTGTACAAAACAATCTCCAATTCTGTTGCTTTTTATTTTTCTACAACATTTGAACAAGGCAGTTGTCCATTATATTACGCAAAAAAAAATGTAGTGATGAATGGAATGATCATTCATCATTTAAAATCACTTTTAGGAATAAAATCTCTTATAGTGAGCATATTGAAAGACTTTCCATATGTGAAATGAGGTGTGGAATCAAAGACAAAACTAGACCAAACTAGGACACGGATCCAGTCTGGGAGGTGGTAGATCCAGCACAAATGAAGCCTTATACATGAATTAAGTCTTAATACTCACTGAATATGCTGTGTAAAATAAAACGAACATTCGAATAATTTTTTTCCTGATTATGGAGTGGCGTGCCTGTCATTCAGAAAAAGTGCAGTAGATTAACCAGACTTGGTTATTCTGCTGAAGTACCAGTGAGGAGCTCCGCACTGCTGTATTGCTATGACTACAGAGAGACAGAGAGAGGTGACTGCAATAGGAGAACAGAATGTGGGCTAACACCATACCCACTGCATGCACGCCAGATAAGCAGTATGACGTGAGGAGCCTCAATAGCAGAGGAATTGCTATTGTTCTCACACACACTTTCCCCCTGAATTAACCTTCTTTGACAGTGCAGGGAGTGGAGGCTCTCATGCTTGTAATTACTTTCAATAAATTAGTCATATATAGCCACTAGCCTGTAGACACTGTAACCACAGGGGGCTATACAGCTGTCTGCAGCTGCTGAACAAGACTGACTCCAGCTCAAGAGATAGTTTTTCAGTGTAATATCATATAAATAATAAGCCAGTTCATTTCCTCATTCCATAGCTAAAGCGGACAAAACAAGCTGAATGGCATTTATGTTTTTAAGGAATATATTAATAATGCAGAATGATATCAGAATCATATCAGTACCAGCCGATAACAGCCGAAAAACGATCAGGATTAGACAAGTCAAGTCAGCTTTATTGTAAATACTACAATATGTACAGGACATACAGAGTATTGAAATTGCATTACTATCAGGACCCATGGTGTAGCAATAACAATAAATAGACAGTAGACAGGAAATGTGTGAATTAAATAGACACTAAATAAACACTAAACACTAATCATAAAAAATAAACACTAATTGTAGAAAAATAGAATAATAAAAAATAATACAAATATAAGAAGGTCCCTGAATTTAACAATAAAGTGACATAAGGCACATACAGATTAATATTTTGCCTCACTCAGCCACTGGACAACACTCAGCATGTACCTCTGCACCATAAAAACGATTTTAAAAAACAGGTTTCAGGCAAAATTCCTATCTCAAAACTAGCATTAAAGGCATCTCAGGCATCAGGCAATGCATCTGTAACCACCTTCATGTAAAAACTTGTAGCTTTTATTGGCATTAAATACGTCTGGTTCCTATAGCCACTGTTTTGACTAATTCTGACTCTGCAAGCTTCTCCAAAATGACAAATTTCACATCAAACCACTCAATTATTTTGTTTACACCTCAATGATTGAATTTAATATGCAAACCTTCTAAAAAACTGGTGGAATTCTTCTTTAATGATAGACGGGTTTGGTAGGAGTGGGACGTGAAACATTAGTTAATATTATTTTTTCTGCCTGCCGGTGCATGTTGACGAAGATTACAGGAAAACAAGGATTTTGTCTTTGAAATGATATGATCAATAGTGCTTAATATGACAAGTAACATGAACTAACAAGGCAAACATTTACAGACAGTTTAAACGAGTTCACGGACACGGACAGTGAAAGCAAGGGTAAAATCTTGCCTTGCTACACAACTTAGAGCCATTAGAACCTGTACTTCTCCTGTACTTCTAGTTCACAAGCAGATAATTTACTAAAGCCAACAGGACAACTAAAATATAAATAACCCACAGTGAGCAGAGCCAGCAGTGACCTAACCAGCTCTCATAAAAACAACATACAAATTCATAGGATCACACAGTTATCTGGGTGAGGGCAGAGATGATTCTGCTTATGATCAGAGAAATCTTGTTAGGGAGGCTTAGAGGGGGAAATGCTGAGATAACATTTAAGACATTTTCAACACAGCTGACTGTCAGGAGAGCAAGAAAAAACAAGCAGAAAGAGATAGCTACAGACATATAGTGGGAGGAGCAAGACTGAATGGTAGTGAATAAATGGAGAAACTATCTGAGATGTGGCAGTGCAGTAAAACACTACAACCTCTGAAAAGCCACACTGAAATGAATGTTCTAAAGTAAGCATATGGCTGTTGTGATGCTCCAATAACTGTGCTTAAGGCAGGGAATGAAGGGAATGCATCACAACTCAGAAAATCTTTACACGAGATTTCGCTTTTGAGTGCTCAGGCTACACCGTCTAATCCTCAAATCCTGATGTCTGTGACAATCATGGATCATTCTAGGAGCCATGATGAGATTTCTGGTCAACTCAACATCACAGCACTGCTCACATTCAAAAGAATACTCAGCATTTTTCAATCTAATCTCTATCTGTCACATTTGTAGCATACAGCTGATTACCACAGACAATCATTTCAATGTTGGCCTGTACTAAGTAGAAAACCAGGTCACTGGCTTTTGTTATAAATGTGTTGATTCAAGATTTTTCTTAGAGATGCATCAATATGAGAATTGTGGGCCGATACCAAAAGACCACTAAATTCGTGTTGAATCTCCTGAGTCTGTGCTTTATTGCTCTACAGCAAAAATGAATGGGATTTTTTGTTGTTGTTAACAATGGCCCCAAACTCAATATGTTTTATCCAACATCCTTTTTCCTCTAAATGTTACTGGATCCCCTGAATTACGAGGTCGTTAAGGATCTAAAATATGAACTTTACATGCGAGCTAACAATGCTGCGCACTGAACTGACATCATAAAACAAGCAAATTCACTAAAATACCCCAAACGAACCAGCAAGCTTTGTCAAGTGTGGTAGTAAAGTGCATTAGAAGTATCTGGTGTTGTTATATAATAGTGTTTAAGTTTAACAGTAGACCTGCTTTCATGCAACATTATTTCAGTGCGCAGGAGTGCATTAGCATGTATATAGCAATGTTCATAAGGACACATAATGAGTCACCTTGCGTGTTTAAGGTGGTAGTAACTTCAAGCTCCTGCAGATGGTGTTGCACAAGGATGATCGGGCTGTAAATACCTGCAGGGTGTGCGACGGGATTCTTAGATTGAGAAGAGATGGTACAGTGCAGTGAATGTCTCGTTCGATGTGTGGAAAATGGGTCGCAAAGCAGATGTTAATGATCGGCATAAAGGAGTGATTGAATTTGGGCCACAGTGTGAAGGAAGTAGCTGAATTTGCAGAGGTATCGAAGCGTACGGTCATACAGGTCTACCAGCAGTGGCAAAAATCCCAGTCAACATGAAATTCTCATCACGATTGTAGCTGAAAGATGAAACTGATGGACAGAGACTGCCGGCTTGTGAACAAAAAACGCTTTGCTTCCAGGCTTCTAGAATTGCAGAGAACACTCCGCAGAGAGCTGCACACCATGACTATATGGAGCAGAGTGGCATGCAAGAGGCCTTTGCTCACTTCTGCTCGAAAAGGTGCCTAGTCACAAGGCGAAAAGACACAAAAATTGGACTGTTCATGACTGGAAACATCTGGTCAGATGAATCTCATTTCTGCCTGTATGTGAATGATGCTGGGCACTGTGTTCATTGTAGACCTCAGGAAGCCTTCAATAAGGACTGCATGCAAGGTGTAGTTTAAGCTGGAGGCTCTGTGATGTTCTGGGGGTGTTTACACGGAAATGGGTCCTTTGGTTGAGGTGACAGTAAATTTGACAATGTAAATTGGACAACCAGGTTTGGCCTTTTGCTCAAGAAGAGTAGTGGCACGCTCACAGGGCTGCAAATGTGACTGATGGGCTGAAGAACATTTAGGAGCATTCATACATCTGGACTGGTCCCCAAAATCCTCAGATCCGTGAAAATCCGTGGGACTACCTGGAACAACGAGTAAGTTGCCAGGGAAGGCGTCCATGAAATCTGACCGAACTGCGCAGATGCAAGAGTGGCTGAACACCGATGTTGTCTACATTCAGAAACCTGTCCAGTCCATGCCAAATCAACTCGCAGCTGTTATTCATGCTTGTGGAGGTATTACAAGCTATTAGGTGCGATTCAGTCACAGGTGACAATTTTTTTGTCCAGTGAGCTAATTTCAACTCCTTATCAGCCTCATAATTCAGAGGATCCAAAGACATTCAGTAGAAAAATGTATGTAAAAAGATTTGTATTGGGTTTGCAACCTTTCTGTGTTCCATGGAGAGTGGTAGCAGCAATTTTCAAAAATCCCACTCATTTTTGCCAGAAATTCAGCTTAAACTGAGAGTTGCTAATAAGGGCATGTCGCCAGCTAAAGAATGATGCACGAACCCAGAGGTCTATATCTTATATTTTCATTTACGTGTCTGCTGATGCCGATACAGAGGCCGATAAATAAACATTTGGGACTAAATCCCTTTGGGGAAAAAATGCATTTTAGCACAGTTACCCAACCTAAATATTCTGTTCTTCCAGAGTACAATATGGCATCAAATATTAGTTGTGCATCCCTATTTTTTATCCTACTGTCTGTGGCATGCTGACTGTATGTTACATGAGGCACATGTAGGTTAGGTTAAAAAGGCTGCACTATTTCTACAATCTTTCTAACACTGAAAATAAAAGGCACATCTTAGAAGCGGCAGGTGCTCAGAGCAGCCACAGCCAAACGCCCACTCACACTCACACTCCAACTGCAAATGTGACAAAGGCCTGAAGAGCCCCCTGCTGTTATGAAAACAGACAGCAAAAGTCACTGCACTAAAGAAGTAATGTGTCTTTATATTCTTTGATATATATGCCCGAAAGCTTGCAGACACCTATTAATACAACGTTTCTTCTGAAATCAAAGGTATTAATAGGGAGTTTGTCCCACTTAGCTGCAGTAACAGCCTCTGCTCTTCTGGGAAGGCTTTACACTAGATGTTGGAAGACTGCTGTGAGGATTTGATTGCATTCATTCAAAAGAGCATTAGTGAGGTCAGGCACTGATTTTGGATGATTAGTTTTGGATCAAATGGATGGAGCTCCACCACTCCAGAGAATGCAATTCCACTGCTCCACAGCGTAATGCATGTGTGGCTGCTCCAGAGCATCCCATTCTTCTGGGTGTGCTTTTCTAAGGACATTATACAGCAGGGGTGTCCAATCTTATCCACAAAGCGCCAGTATAGCTGCAGGTTTTCATTCCAAACAAAGCAGGAGGTCACCTGATCAGCAGTTTGAAGACTGAAACAAATTGATTAAACAAGGGGAATCAGGTGTGCTCCAGCTTGTTTTGAGGGAAAATCTGCAGCCACACCGGCCCTTGTGGATAAGATTGGACACTCCTGTCACTCAAGCTGTGGGTGCACCTTAAAGGAAGTGAATACACTAAACAGAAGGGTGCCTGTATACATTTTGGACAAAGTGTAGTTTGGCTTTGAAAACGCAGTGTTAGAGCACAACATTTAGAAAAATATGTGTATTTGTAATCCAGACTGTTAAGGGGGTTGAATATTTTCATGAGGCACCGTATTTACACCACGACTGCACAGCATCACCTCATTTCACTAACGAGCTTCACTCCTTTCTAGGGAAGGGAAGCTAATTAGTGAGAGCAGGTTGTGTGGAGCATAACTGGAAAAAACACCTGTATAGACTCTGCAGCACCTAGCAGTCAGTTCAGCAGAGTCAGAACCTGTCTACACCTTGCATTAATGTTCATTTTCAGTGATCACATCACGTTCAGTTCACTTGAAAAGCCAGCTGTAAACACAGCCAGGATGCACTGCCATTGGATTACGATTGGATCAAATGTGTTTTCTATATCCGCGTACAATTGTGTAAGCAGAAATGCATCTGTGAGTGCTGACTAGCAGGTGAGAGGATAAACAAAGAAGCACAAAATGTAGGATACATGAGGGCAGAGCTCCTGGAGAACCATCTACCTGCAGGCTTCAGCCAGTCCTAATCCATCCCATCTGAAGGCAGTAAGCCTTGAGAAGTCCTTGAGTAACTGAATGAGTTGTGTTAGTTTTGAGTTGGAGGTATACCCTGCAGGAAGGTAGACCTCCAGGAGGAAGGCTGGTGACCATGTGTTAACACCAAAAGACACAGTACGTGGCGCAAATAAAAGACAAAATTGCAAAATATTCAGACTTTTTTTGCATCAAAACTATACCCATTAGAAACATCAGGAGCACGTTCAATGCTTTCGCATATAAGCTCTGATGTCCGTAGCACAGTCTGAGATGCTAGCACTACATGTGACAAAGCAGAAGGTAATCTTTCTGATGTCTGTCAAAAAGGTCTAGATTCTGGGACACAGCAGATCTGTCATCTTTGTTGTTACCATGTCAACATCAAAGACAAAAGTAATGGGTGGAGTGAGTTCATTTCGCCTGGGAAAACTGGCAAAAAACAATACAGAGCATGAATAAATTACATTTCACATTTTCACATTTTCACTGTCCGAATAAAAGCCCTTTAAGAAGACAGTTTTTTTGTTTACTTTTGTTTTCAAAATAAATTCTGATATAGCCATCGACTTCACAGTTTATTTATCTTGAAAACAAATTTCGAGGATTTAAGCGTAAGCTTTTAAATCAGAATGTTTCGAAGATTAAAAAAAAATTCAATCAGGCAAATCCAAACTTTTGACTGGTCTTTTACCGACACACACAGGCATCCTTACCTCATGATAAACAGAAGGTTTGGACAGTGAAGGAATCGTGAATGACAACAGCTTGCTGTTTCCTTCTTTGTCCACAATCTCCTGAAACATAAAAGAAAAGCATGTCATCAAAGCATCATTTGAGTATGTACACAAACTGTGTTTAGTGTGCGTGTTTTTCTGACTACTTATGACAGCTGGCTAAAAATGGTAATTATATGTATTTAGGTAGATATATATGGTATATCACTGTGTGCATATAATTTCTAAGATCTATGTATAATAAGATATGGGTGTGCATTTGTCTGTGTGTGTGTTTAGTATGACCTCTGTCATGAGTCTCTCATGTCTTGGTGTGAGTCACTGCATGCTGCCCTGTGGGTTATCACAGCGTGCACGTTATCCTGCTAACGCTAATCAGCACAGTCAGCTCCTGCGGTGAGTACCAAACCACACAGTGTTTTCCTCATAACTCCCCATCCATAACACTCTGTTAAATAGCACTTATTCGACAGTGCTGATGCTGCCCTACCCATCATAATGAGTCGCGGTTTCACACAAATACATATTGACTTTGTTTAAATTATCTACTACAGGCACATCCAACCCTCTTCCAGGAAATATATAAAATATCCAGTTTATGATATATCTATGTTGGGCACGAAAGTCTATTGGACTGGGGAGGGGGTGGGCTAATATTGCAAAAATACATGATTTGTTTTTCCACAATCTCTTTACATACACAATAAGTATCACTTTATTTCTCATGTTTTTGAACAAATTATATATATATATATATATTTGACGTCATCTGTGCCAAATTTAGCCCTGCCCAACTCAAATCTAACAGAACAAAACAGCAGGAAAAAGTCACTTCAATAATCAACATCATTCTTTCTCTGCCAGTTCACAGTAAAACACCACAAAAATTGGATAATCATAGATGAAGAAGAAAATGATGAAAAAATATGAAAATGGACAGGGACTTTAAAACCCATTCCTTCATATTTCCAAGCAACCATCCATTCCCCTTTTCCTCCCTCATTCTCCACCCAGCCTCCTCCTCCTCATCCATTTTCCCACATTCTTGCTAGCCATCTGGCAAATTCCTTCTTTCAAATCTTATTTTCTTCAACCCCTCATCCATCCATTTAGCCATCCACCGATACCTCCTTTCCTACTCACCTGTCCACTATCCACTCATCCATCCATCCATCCATCCACCCACCCACCCATTCCTACTCGCTCATCCATCCACCCATTCACTCATTCACTCATCCATCCTTCTCTTTCCACTTACCAGATTGTAGATGCCCAGCAGCAGTGCCTCTATGCAGCCGTTGCTCTGGCGGTTCCTGCTGGCCGTCAAACGCAAGTACATCCAAACCAGCTCGGGTAGGAACTGCAGGGTGAAGCGCCGCAGACGGTCGTCTGAGTTCCGGTACAGTTCGAACAGCTGATGGCACACGGGCTCTAAGAGCTGAAAGCAAATAAAAATAGGGAAAAAACTAATTTCCACAGTCAGCCTCTGCATCATGGACCAATCATGGAGCATTAATCAGTTCCAATCATATCACACAATATGAGCATTATGTGTACCAGTGAAAACCTAACAGCTGAAACAGATAACACACCACAAAATTACACAAAGAGCAAGTTCTGCAACTTCAAGGCCAGAGTGACGTTCAGTCATCAGGCCTCTAAAATGTAACATTACTGAACAACAAATTTCATTGCACATGGAGATGTTTGACATATCAACCAACAAAAATTTTCAGAAAACAAAAATGCATGAAAGACATTTTCGCAATCCCTAGTATCACATTTATTTTTACTCAGGTTTGCAAACAAACAGAAAAAGCACCAGCAAATCAGTAGTGCCACATTTAAAAAATGGTTCTGAAACAGTATGAGCACAATTATGGTTTCTTAAATGCAGCACGGTTTCTTAAAGTGGGATGACCACTGTATTGTGGTTACTCATTTACTGTCAAGAAATGAACTGCTGATACTATTCATAGCATTATTGGTGATGTCACTGGATCACTGCTGCAGCTAGGAGTCAATAATCCTTTTCTACAACCAGTGACTAACCGAATACTTATTATTTACATAATAACAGATTATCGATTATCACAGACAAGAATTTACTTCTACTTAGAAAACAAGACAAACACACTTATAATAGAGGCTTATTAGAAGGTATTACAGCATCTGCCCTTTGGCTTCTGATGTGAATGTGCCTAGAGTCAAAATTCTTTCTGTTCTTTTACTATGTGCATGGAAACATCAAATAGTAATAGATACAGACTGGGTTGAAAAACACTGTATTCCTTTAAGAAAACAATGAAACAAATGTAACATTTTCTGTTATTAAGAGTTACAGTATGTTCCTCCATTGGCTTCTAGTCTTATTAAGAAATTGTATGTTACCCCAAAAAAAAAATTCACTAATGGGGTATGCCATCATAATTATCACCCCATTTCATATCAGCACATCCTCACTGTATAAAAGCACTGCTGGCAACAATCCTGCCTTAAAGAGAAATCTGCAAAATGGTATTAGTGATGCAGGCGTGTGGAGTCAGTCCCTTCCGGAGCATGGCTTAAGGCGCTATTCTCTCAGTGTGTGGAATATTAATGGTGCAGTCTGCCTTCTGTCTGCGTGCGGACAGAGATGCTGATGCATTTCTCCAGACGAGGGGTGGAGGAGGGGAGCAAGGGATGAAGAATGAGTGAGAAGGCTCTGCTGGCCAACATTTCCATAGACTCTGTCTGATTTAACACACCCACACTGTCATCTGCTCCAATCACTCACACACACAAACACACACAATGGCCCTTTTTTTATCAAAGTTGCGTACGGTGAAATCTGATCGTAAAAGGAGCGTACGCAAATTTCACTGAGAGCTTTATTATTTATCAGTTTCATCTTTGGCGTATTTGTACGATCAAACTTGCGTCTGGTTGGAAAGCATGTTGAGCGTAATAGTTTAACTTTAACATCTTAAAAAAGGAAAATAACATTAATACTAAAACGTGTGCAAACCAGTACAAAAGTGGATGTGCTTATTTTGGATCTACCACTCGGAAAATAAACAATACAAAACACAGCTAGTGCAGAAGCATCTCATATACTGCGATAATTCAGCGTTTCAGTATGTTATTTTAAAATAATCACACTACACAATCACATCATTCTACTGTCTTAAAAAAAAAAAAAGTTTTGTTTATTTATTTATTTTATTCTTTCCATTTGTGGCAATGTTAACACTATTAATTTGGTCAGTGGGGGGGGAGCAGTGCACTCGCTGTAAATGATATGTAAATGAGGTACTCCTATGCTGGCACTTGATTTTATGAACTGAAGTTGATTAATCATTTGCGCTAAAATCTCTGTTTCCGTGTCACCAAAAGATTCATGAATCAGATGTGTGTCAGAGTCAGAGTCGTGTTTAAGTCATTAAAAACTGTTACATCTGCACTTTTTTTATGCAACTTTGATGAGGATAACATTTTAAATGAAAAATCATATTATGTATTTCCATCAACCTTGCCTAAAAGAAACTGTCTTTTTGTCACTTGAGAACGAGTGAGTGAAGATGTCTATAACAGCACAATGCAGAAGATTAGATTAGTGCTTCAGCAGAGACAGACAGTGCATAGCAGACAGTTAAATAAAGTGTAAACTCTTTGTCTTGTCAATTCCAGCATCTTGCTGTCAGCAGTGAAGTGAACGTCATTTTGATAACAAGTAATTTAGCTAGATATGCTTGTAAACTAGTTTTGTTTCTGGTTTATTTAATTAAGACCTTTACACACCAGCAAGATGCTGGAATTGACAAGACAAGACATCATTAAATTTAATCTGACCACATGTATCCAGTGACACCCAACACGATTTCTGGACAGCAGAAGTGCATCTTTGCTTGATTTTTGCAAACCTTTGCAGTCAAACTCACTCGACCGCTCAAATACTGTCCACGGCAATGGCATGGTGACGAGCAAGCGGATCGGATTGGCTAACTCTCATCTCTTGACAAATGTTAAAAGGATTAGATGATCCTCTGTTTCGTCATGTGTGGAGCTTCATCTCCAAACGCAGCTCAAATTGCATTATGGACATCAAACTTTCTGTGAAAACACTCAAAATTTCAGCTCCATTCTCCTTTCGCTTTCACAAAAGCTGCTTTTGGGAAACCCAGTCGGTTACCCAGTGTCACTGTTTGATTGTTTTGTGCAAAGCAAAAAAGTCTTTTTGCCACAGACGATTATGGTTTCGATGCAGAAAATACTGGGTCAGAATAATTCTCATTTTGGTGAAATTTATTCAAGCCACATTTTGTGCATAACAGCCTTAAGTATAAAATAGCAAATATCAGTCTGCTAATTAATAGTCAGGCACAACTTGGCGCAACAAGCCAGAGCGCAGCGCCCATCCTTCCTGCTTACGTTGCTCCTCCATATCTAGACAAATTCAGTTGCCTGTGACCAGAACTATGGTTTCTGCTACATCACATCACCGAAGCACAGTCTGCCTCTACCTTCCCTTCTCTTTCCATCTGTCTGAATGTTCTGTCCCATCATCAGTATTGCTATATCAGTGATGTAATGCTGTAATTTGTAATGCTGTGAGACACAGAGAGAGAGACACAGTGTATGAGACAGAGAGAGAGAGAGAGAGAGAGAGAGAGAGAGAGAGAGAGAGAGAGAGAGAGAGAGAGACATCCGAACTTGCCAAAACGCTGTTGTAACTGTAGGGCAGCCCCCGCAGTGTCCTAAAGTCTGTTTTAACCTGCCGTTTCTACCATTAGCTGTTCTATTGAAAGGAGAATGTATTATCTTTAGGCAACTGTGACAGGCAGTATAATCAGTTCACTAAGGCTACGTTCACATTACAAGCCTCATTGCTTAAATCTGATTTTTTGCTCAAATCCGATCTCTTTGACACGATGCTTCACACTCGTTTAGGTAAGTGAGTCAAATCTGTCATTAATGTGAACAAACCGGCGTCCTGAAATGACCCACATCCGCACATCCTACTCGGTAACATCACGTGAATGAATCACGTGCATCATCAGCAAATAAACTAACGCGCAGCACGAGCTTCGCTGCAAAGATAATTAACTGTGATCAGCTTTCAGCTGCTCATTATTAGAGCAAGACGAAGGTGAAAAATGTGAGATGTGTTGCTTTTTTACCATTTACAGGCTTTAACTGTTCGGTGCTGCTGGGGAACAGTGGGGAAAAAAAGCACATGAATTCCGACCTGAGCGTTCTCATCAAGGTTGCATGGCCACGAATCGGATACGTATCCGATCTAGGACCAGAAATGAAAATAGCCCAGGTCGGATTTGAAAAGATCAGATTTGCTTGTCCACACAGCCCTGAAAACAGTCACATTAGGGCAAAAAATTGGATATGTGCCACTTCAACCGGGTAATGTGAATGTAGCCTAAAATTAGCATAATGATGTTACATTTATTCATATTGCAAACTGTGATTTCACTTGTGAGTGATTTTTTTCCCCCAACTCTGTGGTTTAAAAGTCCTGGTCACTACAGATACGATGAACTGTTCCTTCTCAGTGTGTTGATGCTGATAAAAACTCAAAAATATTACAATTATGGCGGTGAATAATGACGAGACTCACTGTGCGACTCAACTGAACGTGTGGATGTTTATTAGGAAGAATAACAACATTAGTGAGGCTTATTTAACTGAAACTGGGAAGCTGGGACGTCCTGTCGGTGGGGAGGCGCGGTCACAACATTCTTAACCTTTTCAAACTTCCAGTTCATCACACATTACTTTTGACTTTTTTTTCTCTCAATGGTAGCTGTCTAGCTAACTAACTTACATTTTTAATGTTATATTGCTTACGTGTTTACTTTTTAGCTGTGCGCATATTGTCAGTTGCTTGGTAACAGACATGACAGTTCAAATTAAGATTAGATTTACTTCTGTAATATGAATTATGAACCATAAAGTCAGATCTTAACTTGGGACGAAAAATAAGCAGTTTTTGAAATAAGCCCCATAAGTTTCTTCAGGTTTGTCTATATTAGCTGCACTAATAATATTCTGACTTGCGATATTTATATCTGTAGAGCACTATTTACCTGAGAGACAGAGACAGAGTGAGAGACAGACAGAGAACAGAGATTTGAGTAATAAAGCCAAAGTAGTTCTCTCATTCACTAATAGCACAAAATTACCCTCAGACAAATCAGAGTGAAAGTATTTCGGTGAGTAGAAAAAGCTGAAAGGTGAAACTAGATTATAAAGTGCCACTGAGAGTTCTGCTTTGTGGTAATGCAGAGTCTGAGTGAACAGTCTGATTTTGCATTTTAGCTTGCTAATAAAAGTCCTGGAAGTCCTTTTACGGTTTCTGTGGGTGATTGACAGGGTTATTCCTGACTCCCTTTAACTTAGTTATTGCAAAATGCAATACATTTTTAAGCGTATTTCTCAAATGAATTAAATTCACCTCTTGAACCAAATTCATTTGCTGAATTGCTGAAACTGACCCAACAGGTCATATACTGCCCACAGGCTGCAGGGATTGAATATGGTTTCGGCATATTCAATGTCCACTCCTACCACTGCTGCTGCTTCTGTCCACTTCATGGTTTATGTGTCATGCTTTCTCTTTCCTGCATGTACGCAGATATGCTGATCTGAAACTAAGAGTGAACCGTAGGACAGTCCACTTTTTTAGAATACAAACCACACAAAAAAAATACTCAGTTTTTAAACTTATTTTTCACGGACCTTTTATAATGTCACACTATTCTGTTTTGGGAAACTGTGCCCATTTCATAGGTTGTTAGGTATCCTGAGAAAAAATGAGTGTTATGATGCACATTATATACTGTGAAAGTGCATTTTATCTACTTGTTATTGTTGGATGAAGCTCTAACAGTGAAAAGCTTTACAATTAGTGAACATGGATTGACACAATGAGACAAACGAGGTAGTTATTCCTTTGGCCAAGAAAATGAAGCCCAAAGTGACTGATGAAAAAAAAAATAGTAATATGCAGTGCCCTACAGGACCATCCACCCTCCCCATGCTTACCTCACTGTTGGGGTCCTGGATGACTCTGTAGAGGGCTGGCACCAGATTCTTCTTCTGATAGAGAGTGCTCGCATAGCTGGAGAACTGAGACTCAGGTAACGTCTGAGAGAGAGAGAGAGAGAGAGAGAGAGAGAGAGAGAGAGATGGAAAAGGTAAAAAGAGCAATTTCACAGATTTTTCAAGATTCTAAATAGCAGTTTTATGCTATGAATTGATTTAAAAACATATAATGTCTCGTGCATCAGGCAACAAATTCATAAACACTGCATGTAATAACTTTCTGTGAGGGAGCTTTTAGACGTCTGGCTCATTTTTTCTGAAATGGCTTCACTCACATCAAACCACTCTGAATGACTTTGTTTGCATCTTAACGACTGAATTATGCACAACATTTTGAAAACTGGAGGGATTCTCCTTTAACCTCTTTTCACAGCAGGTATAAAATGGTATAAAAAAGGTATAAAAACTTCCAGCTGTTTTAGAGGTCCCTCAGTTTTGCACTATACATTTTATTTAATACCATGGATGGAATATATTTTGGTGATAATGTGCATGATTTGTTAAACTGGAAGTAAACTGGATTTTTGCCTTCGTAGTTGAAGAAGAAAGTCAACATTTACAAAAGTGTTTTTATTGTGTTTAAATGCTATTTTTATTGTGTCAGTTGTTCGATATGAAGAAAGCTGCAGCGGTCCTGTCTGTTTTATTTCAGCTTGGCCGTCTTTGTTGAGAGGTGTGAATTGTTTTCACAGCAGGGGGTGCTCACCCTCCCCTTTCACCCCAAGTTGCTCACTAGCAGCTCAACATAGTGTCACATCTCATACACAGAGAACCAAGGTAATCTGTCCTAGTTAATCTGATAACAGAGCTATAGGGAAAATGTTTATTTGATGTGGTTACTGAAAGAAATCTGAGTCGATTTCCATTCTGCTGGTGGAATGGCTAATAGTGGGTTTGCAGGAGAAGGTTAATATAATCAGCACCATCCTTTATTTGCAACAAGACCCAATAACACATTTTTGGACCAAATGCTATTGTTTTTAATTTTGTTTTCCATGCACAGAAAGAGCAGTCAGGCTTTTTAGACCATTTGAGATGGTTTGTTTGTGAATCTGTCTTTGTAGATCACTATGAATTGTCTCTCACAACCACAAAAGCATATTCATTTTTACTACTCCATTCAGACTGACAGCACTGCACACGGAGTACTATTCTGTGAAAGATGAGTGACGTTCTGGGATGTTTGTTCTCCGTGTTCCACTCATTTCAGAAGCAGCATGAGTCACCATGATGTGTACAGTCACACACACAAAACGCTGAGAACAGCACTTGAATGCACACTCTAAGCACAGCGTAGGCTTCAGTTCATGGAATGCCTGGGTGACTCTGTTATTAATTTCTCAAGGCCTGCAGCACCGCACCGCAGCCACGTACTGTCTTCCGCATAATAAATAAGTGGCAGGAAAAGAGCGAATAGAATATACATGATCTACATTACACACTGGAAAAAAGTGGAAAAGGCAATCAAGATTTATATCCACAGACAAGGATTTTCCTTGATGTCAACTCAAAACATGCTGATAAGAGAAGCCAATGGGAAGCTGTTTCAGCATCTTCTTCTGCTGTAAGGGTGACTTGAGTCAACAGGTTTTCTGTTCTCTATCTAATTACAAGGAAATGCATCAAAATTATTGTCTATGGCATTCGACCATGTGCTACAGAAGCAGCAGACAGGGATTAGGGTGAACACTGAAGTATTCCTTTAATCATGGCCAATACAGCTGAACAGGAGGCGTGGAGTGAATGGATGGATGAAACTGAAGGCTGGAAAAACAACTCACCTTGAATTCTGAAAGCCATTCCTCCACTGCTCCTCTCCCCTCCCCCAGCATCCTAGAGAAAGAGAGAAATCATGTTTTAGTTTCACAACTCTAAGCATCATATTTCCATCAAAGCATTCATGGAGCTATTAACTGGTGGAGTTCAGACAAAAAAACTGACGTTCACAGCAAGCATTTGTTTGGCAAATCATCATTAAAATATTGCCAAAAATGAAAAGGTGGTGTGCATCTCACACAGGACTAATTCTAATTACGCATATCCTCAAGTAATTAGCAGAATCATTCACAAATAGTATCACACACAAATAGAAACTCTGAAGTTTGCTTTAAAAGCTTAAACTGCACATTGAAGTGACATCACAAAACTGCAACTTAGAGAAGTCAGAGCTCTTAAACGTTGACTTTCTGAGTGGGAATTACGAGTTCAAGTGCATTTTTACCCATTAAATCAGAACCCAGTTCTGACTGCTATGAATGCAGCATTATTGAGTTTTGCCTCTGTTTGCGGCTAATATGAGATATAAACACACTGCCAGTCTTTCAGTGTAGCTGTACAGTAATATGCACCCCAATTAAATGTTTTTTTTTTTCTAAGTCAAGGTTTGGCAACCCAAATGTTAACCACCTTGGGAGCCACAACATTATATGTCCATTTTTCCATCTTGGCTGTAAATATGTCTCAGTATGTGCTAATGTAGTAGTATAGATTAATAAATATAATATAAACGAAAACGCAGACTTACTTTGCTCTGCTTTAAGCTCAAGTGGAACGGGAAAATTAGAATGAGAAGCTGACTTCAGCTTTGCGACTTTTTAGTGTTTGACAGTTTCCCGTTGCAGATTAAACGTATCAGGAAGCGAGCCGGAGTGATTATAAATGCAAATAAGTCCATTTGTCTCCAAATTATCGATGTTCATATTAAATCTTTCTCTTTGCCGTTTCGTTATCTACTAGCTAGGCAAGATTGTTGTCTGCGTTCCTATGGTGACCAGCAGTCTGCACGCAAACCTTCAGGGTCCAAGGTTGGTGAATTAGCAGTTATACATTAACTCCAACGTTTAAGACCATTTATTGCTAAAATTGTTATAACGATCAGCAGAACTTTATTTTACTGCAAAGGGGGATTATTTTATTTTTACATAAAAATCTAATTCTGCAGTGGAGCCACAACAGGACAGTAAAAGCCACAAAAGAAAGGAAAAATTTGATCAAAGGTGCCCAAACTTTAGCTTACCACTGTAGCTTCACTTAGCTTCACTTGTGTCTAAGCTTTCTCCTTGCTGGAGGCTGAGCTACAGAAATGGAGCAACAGTTTCAGTGGAACATCTTAAAGCCAACAATGCCGCCTCTACAATATCACTAAAAAGCTTTGTGCATGCTTATACACAAGACTGGGACCTTGTCCACATTAATATGGAAAACAAGCAGACATTCAAATATGATGTGGCCACGCAGGGTGCGCCATAAGCCCAATCTAGAGTCACCAAATTGGCCAAGGTGCCCAAGCACTGTGGACGGGTTTTAAGTATGATACATGCACACGTCCCCTGTAAGGGCAGTGCTCATTTGCATGTATTAGCTCTGGAATTGCCACAGTTATCAGAGTAACATGAACAACCAAGGAACCCATAACTGATTTAATTAGCCATTAGCAGTTTTACTGTACCGACAATGTGTACATGAGCCCAAGGTCACCATGCCCAATGCCAAGTGTCAGCCAGAGGGGTATGCAGTCCTCCCAGCATTGGACTGTGGAGCTGTGGAACAGTAATACCTTCGGGATGAGCTTGAGTGGCAATTGTGATCAGAACTGATCATCCAACATCGGTACCTGACCTCACTAATGCTCTTGTGATTGAATGCAATCAAATCCTCACAGCAATGTTCCAACATCTAGTGTAAAGCCCTCCCAGAAGAGCAGATTGTGTTACTGCAGCAAAGGAGGACAAACCCCCTATTAATACCCTTAATTTCAGAACAAACGCTGGATGAGCAGATGTAAAATAAACTTTTGGACATACATCATAGTGTCATCATCCAGTGTGGGCAGCAAGTCAGCAGCAGCTAACTTGATGCTAAAATGTGCTTACAAAGGTCCTTCCAGGGCATAGGTGTGTGCGTGAGTGTGGGAGACAGAAGTGCAGCTGGCTTTTTCCCGGTCGTGTCCTGAGTTACATAAGAAGCACCATCACTACAGAGACACCACAGGGAACACACACTGCTCAGCCTTTACAACACCACACTGCTGCAACATACACACTGCTCAGACTTTACAACACCACACTGCTGCAACATACACACTGCTCAGCCTTCACAACACCACACTGCTGCAACATACACACTGCTCAGCCTTCACAACACCACACTGCTGCAACATACACACTGCTCAGACTTTACAACACCACAATGCTGCAACATACACACTGCTCAGACTTTACAACACCACAATGCTGCAACATACACACTGCTCAGACTTTACAACACCACACTGCTGCAACATACACACTGCTCAGCCTTCACAACACCACACTGCTGCAACATACACACTGCTCAGACTTTACAACAGCCAGGGCTGCAAAACAAATATTCAGTAATATTCAATATATTTTAGAAACTTTGATTTAAATTTGATACTATTACTGAGAATAAATGTGCTGGCTAACTAGTTTTACAGAGCAGTAACCGGCTGAGTTTAGTGCAAGTTCTGGTACACAGCGGTTTTGAGAGGCTTAAAACCTTCATCACTCCCAGTTCACAAACATTCAAGATGATTTTTAAAACGATTCTGTTTCCTCTGTTCTTCTGCGCCACTGACTGCTGTTCAAAACAGTCTCAGCAAACTGATCAGCATTGCCAGATTGGGCAAGATTTAGCCTTTTATAGCAACTTATGAAAATAATAATCATTAATATTTTATGTCTTGTAGTATTTCAATTCCGTTTAATTAAAAAGCAAAATTAAAAATGTAATCATGCAATAGTGCAAAAATAATGATAATAAAAATAAGAAGAAGAGCAGCAAACACTAAATATAAAGCTTTTCCCCCCATTCAGTTACTAGGTGGGTCTATCTATGCTGGTCAGTCTACAGATTTTGGAATCAGCCGGAGTCAATGGATGGCATAAAAATGAGGAGCAGAGGCTTTAATTTGATCTACAGTGAATTTACTATAGTTAAGTGGTGTTGTAAGGCATGACATGAAGCAACGCCCTTAAAAATGGTTCCTAGCTGTTGACATAATATTTACTGGAAGGGTCATAAGGATTCTTCCTTTTCCCAATTAATGGATGGTTAATGATTACTCCTCATCTATTTTGAGTGATCGCATCGAATCACACTGCATCACACTTAGCCGCTCACAGCTGGTGTAGACAGCTTCGTTGATTACAATGGGAGCGTTTTGCTTTTGTCGTTGCTGCTCTTAGCATTTCAAGTAACCCACCCTCAAGAAATTAGTAGTTATTCAAAAGTTTCTTCTACCTTCAAGATGTCATTAAAAGAGCGATTCACTATCCTTTAAACCACAAAATCTTGCTCTAGAGGCTACTATGGCATCTGTGTAGTTTATGTTTACAAAATGGTCTAAAAATGACCATGAACAGCATAATGGTGTTTAATAACTTGGAGCATTACTACAGAATTCAGTTAACGTGTGAAGACAAATGTGTGTATATATGGCTTTCATCATGGATCAATCAGATTTTAGGACTGGACTTTGTTTATTAGCCCAGTTTTATGTCGCCCCCTAATCACTCACTCTCTCTGGTTCATTTACCCTCTATAAAATGCAACAACACACCTTCACAGAAAAGGTTTACTGAAACAGTGCTGTGTGTGTGTGTGTGTGTGTGTGTGTGTGTGTGTGTGTGTGTGTGAGAAAGAGAGAGACAGTCTTGGGTGGGAGTGATGAATGATGAGTGTGTTATTGAGGGAATAAACAGTGGCGGAGCTGACGTTACCTGCTCTGACCCCTCCCACAGAAGCAGCCCATAAACTCTTACTGCCTTTAACCTTTGCCTCAGATACACATCAGCGCTGTTAAACTGAGATCCTCATTTATTCCACAGCTCTGAGCCAAGCTTTTCTGAGATCAGTTTAACCTTTTACAACACTGTGCCTTAACATCAGCCCAAACAGGGACAGAGAGAAAAAGAAGAGAGATAAAGGTGGTCAGATTGATCCAGTATTTCTTCTTCAGTTGCACTGTTGTTCTTTTTTGAGACACCACAGAGGGAGAAGAGTAAACATTTGAACAGAGACACGTGACAGCGATTGATCCCCTCTGTGTATGAGTTCCATGAGAGAGAAAGAGAGAATGAAAGAGAGAGAGAATGAAAGAGAACGAAAGAGATAAAAAAGCAATATGGAAAGGAGAGAGAAAGGAAAGAGAGAAAAAGAGAAAGGAAGGAAGGAAAGAAAGAGAAAGAAAGAAAGAAAGAGAAAGAAAGAAAGAAAAAGAGAAAGAAAGAAAGAAAGGAAGAAAGAAAAAGAAAAAGAAAGAAAGAAAGAAAGAAAGAAAGAAAGAGAAAGAAAAATAAAGAAAGAGAAAGAAAAATAAAGAAAGAAAGAAAGAAAGAAAGAAAAAGAAAGAAAAAAGAGAGAAAGAAAGAGAAAGAAAGAAGGAAAAAGAAAGAAAGAGAGAGAAAGAAAAAGAAAGAAAGAGAAAGAAAAATAAAGAAAGAAAGAAAGAAAAAAGAAAGAGAGAGAAAGAAAGAGAAAGAAAAATAAATAAATAAATAAAGAAAACGAAAAAGAAAGAATGAAAGAAAGAGAAAGAAAGGAAAAAGAAAGAGAAAGAAAAAGAAAAAGAAAAAGAAAGAAAGAAAGAAATGAGAGATTCCAAAGTCCAAACAGATCGTTAATGATGCATCTGCTATGAGCTAATTACACGTGTATACAACACACCCTCCCACACACACACACACACCCTCCCACTCTCCCATTAATCTGAAGGGAGGAGCAGCAGCAGCCCAAAGTATCACATTCAGTCTAAACAACGCACAGCTTAAACCATTAATCATAAACCGGCTCTATTAATCATTCACCTAAAC